TTTTGACTCGATCTAAACTAGGTGATGACACAACTTGTATCCAAAGAGAGAGAGAAAGAGCGAGGACCCATTAGGTGATAATGGAAGTTGTCCTCATCTCTGGACTCCTTCCTAGTTCCTACTCCTATCACTCCCAAATTATATTTGCTCACTATTGAGATATATAGTCTCACATTGGTTATATGAGCAATTAATGTGATCTTTATAAGGCCTTGAGCACTCTCATCCTTAGAGCTAGCAAAGTTCTTTACATGCCTCACCGTCTCCCACTTTAAAGTGAAATTAAAACAAAAAGCACACAACTACACAACTCACCGTCCCTTATCTTAAAGTGGAATTAAAACAAAAAGCAGCACACAACTCACCATCCCCCACTTTAAAGTGGAATTAAAACAAAAAGCATACAAAAGTAAACCAAACATTGGGCCTGTGCATAATCCACGCTTCAAGCCCAAAGAGCTCTTGTGTGAGTGAGCAACTAATGTGGAGTTTATAAGACTTTGGACACTCTCACCCCTTGAGTTAGCTTTTGAGGTGGTATATCCCAAAGTTCTTTACATGATTTAATACATAAAGAGTATAATTTTGCAAGCAAAGCATGATTTAATAGATAGAAAATTGAATGTTCATTCCAAGTACACTGCCCTATTTCAAAGCATCATCATCATATTATCTGACATTTTACCCACTAAGCTTCCAACAACAAATTTCAGCCCAAGACATGACTTCCTTTATTGTTTAATATGTCCCCTAACAATAACTAAAATCCGTGACAACTAACAAACTCAAAAAATCTCACTTTGTTTAGCGACCAATTCAGTAGGAGGTCTATTCCTCTTATATTATCTGCCACTGCCACTGCCACTCTAATTGGTCAATTTTTTTTCTAATCCATCAATCACTTTCTCTTATTTTTTAGACTTTCATGTACAACTTGTCGAAATAGAGTCCTCCTATCCATATCCCAACAGACAACAGTTGTAGTTTGAAGAACTTGCTCATCTGTTGGATTAAAAAACGATCAAAAGAAACTCACTAGTCAATTTTACTTTCATAACGTGGCGAGTGAATGACTCTTCAATAAAACTTAAAAAACATGATTAACATGTGATTGAAGTAAATTGAATAATTATTACAAAAAAAAAAAAGTAAATTGAATAATTAAAAAATCTACTCACAAAATTTAATAACGAGAGAGGTTATCCCCTTTGTGTAACCTCAGATATATATTTTGCTCAATATGAACTTAGGATGACCAAATCAAACGGACAAAGATTTGATTGATGGGTTAACCAATCTATCGATTGAAACTATCAACCAGTGTTTTAAAACATCGCCCCACTCCCGGGTTGACCCGGGTCAACCCTGACCCCTCCCTTCTGAGGGTTGGGGTCACAAGTTGGACCCTATATGCAAATCGACTCCTCTGATTCCCAAAATCCAGCCGATTTCAGTGACTCTCGGGTTAGAGGGGTCATAGGGGGTCATTGCATGTTTTTTTTTTTAAAAAAAATATTCCATGAAACAACATTGTTTTATTAAAAAAATAAAATAAAAATGCTTGCAAACCTAAATCTAATCGTTCTCTTCTCTCCTAGTGACTTAGACGTTTTCAATCTTCACCTCGCTACCGTGAATCTTCTAGAAAAGATAAAAATTTTACCCATTCAAAAGAAATCCTTACGATCGTCGATGGAAAACAAAACTCATTCTTACTTCCTTTAAATTTTCTTTTGTCAGAGACCTTATCAAAAGAGGCAGAACCAGGTCACGTAGTGACCCCATTGGAATATGAATTTTGTACTTTGGTATTTTGATACTTTAATTAGATTGTGTAATATTGACTTGTGGTTGTAATTGGTGAATTATGTTAAGTATATTTTGAATCTTTGAGATTGATGGTTTGTTTTTTAATATTTTCATATAGGATATATATATTTATATTTTTTTAATATATAAAATCGGGTCAGCATAGTGACCACGTGACCCCCCGGTTGAACCCGTGACCCCTGACCTAGGCCGGGTCGATAGCCGGGTCGATGGCCGAGCCGGGTTTTTAAACACTGCTACCAACAATTATACATTTTTTTTTAAAAATAAATAAATGCTAAACTAATGAAAATTAATTTTTATGATTAATTTTATTAATAATTCAATTATGCATAATAATATTAAACAAAGAATTAAAGTTAAAGACAAGAAGAATTTACTCCAAACCTGCAATTCCCACTCTATAGCTGAATAAATTTTGGAATATATTTACTCAATTAATCCGGTTTAAGTATTATGAGGTCTACCCTCTCAAAATAATTTTTCTCAATTTTGTTTGGGGTTCGAATTCAAGACTCTAATTAAAGGAACAAATTTCAAATCCGTCTTATTGTAAATGAGGCTATTAGAAGATAAAAGAGAGTAAAGAGAAAATATTGATTTCATTGATTGTGGTGAATTGATTTGTACAATGAGTGAGCTCTTATATAGAAGAGCATAACAGAAAAGAGAGATCTAGAATATCATTAAAATACTAAACTACCCTTATACCTAATATCTAATACTCCCCCTCAAGATGGAGAGTGAACAAAGAGAACTTCCATCTTGAACAAGAAAAATCAAGAAAACATAAAAACCAAATAACATGATCATCAGCTAATAAAGAGACAGTGCTGGAATGGACATCAGCAAAGGAAGGAAGGGCTGGGATGAACATCAGCAACCTAATATGAACTGCCGGGGTGGACATCGGCAAAATCAACTGTTCTGAAATAAACTTCAGCAACATGAACAATGCTCCCCCTGAATAGGAAGCCAAAATAAAGCCAAACAATGGCAAAACCAAATAACAGCCAACGACAGAACATCAGAAAAAAAAAAATTACAGAATAAAAAAGCCATGAATAAAATTCATCAAAAGCTACAATGATGTATTGCAATAAAATGCACAAGCTCCATGAATCGTCAGAAACCTGCAAAATGAGAAGAAAAAGAGAAGAAAAAAAAATAGAAAGATCCGGAAATGAAAATACATCAGAGACACAGATTGACAAAAGGTGGAAGACGACTAATAAGGGAGAGAGAAAAAAAATGGCATGGAAAAGGAAAATAAAAAATAAAAAATTGCAGATTAGAAAAGACCAGAGAAGAAAAAAATAGTGAGATAGGGTGAGAAAAACAAATTATAGATCTGAGAAAAATCCAACTCGAATAAGGACCCGAATGGTGAACCATGCGAGCAGATCCAAGCGATCGACGATGAGACGGTAACTCTGACAAGGGCAAACAGAGACCTTTAGGCTGAACGGTGCTAAGTGGAGGAGGAGGAAGCACAAACGGAGACCTCCATACTGAGACGCGAAGACGAACGGAGATGTGAACCAGATCCGGTTCCGACGAACCCGAACAACTTGCTACAGGAACTCGAACGGCAGCACGGTGGTCCATAAATAGAGTCGAAGGACAGCAAGATGGTGACTTGCTCGCGAACCAAAAATAGATGAAGAAAAAAAACCTCCAATCCCATTGTGACGAAGGAAACAGAAAGAGGGAAAAGTGAATGAATGAAGCTGAAAAATGAGATCAAACAAAAAAAAAAGTAGAAAGAGACGAACAACTCTGATGATAAAATAAAATAAAATTCACAGATCTGGAAGAAAGGGAGAGAAAAGATATAGATCTTGGAACAGATCTGGAAAAATAAAAGACTCAGAAAGATCGATGAAGAGAAAACTAAAAAAAAAATTGATGGCAGCGGAACCTCCATTCAAGGAGGATGAAAATGCTCTGATACCATATTAGAAGATAAAAGAGAGTAAAGAGAAAATATTGATTTCATTGATTGTGGTGAATTGATTTGTACAATGAGTGAGCTTTTATATAAAAGAGCATAACAGAAAAGAGAGATCTAGAATATCATTAAAATACTAAACTACCCTTATACCTAATATCTAATAGAGGCAAATTAAGGAGCCGCAGCCCGCAGGTCCTAATTAAGTTAGGAAAAGGAGATTACTATTTTGGGAAGGGGTTGACAACATCTTAATAAGTATCTTCAGCTGCTAATCATTACGGTACTGTGCTTTGCAACTTGATATCAAAGCGCGTGGGATGCACGGCCACTTTGTTAGGACGGTGAATGCGACGCTCCACGTGTCGTTCGGTGAGTTGTGTCGCAACTTCCCAGGTAAGGTAACGGAAGCCGATCAAGGAGAGGACTAATTCCGCGTTTCTCCACGCCACGTGACGCATCATCAACTGACATGTCAGATCGCAAGCTCATCAATTTGCCACGTGGAAGAACCCCATGTGGTCGAAGACGCAAGTTGGACCCAGTTCCTGCCATTTTTCACGGGGCCCAGAAAAACACCCAACACTAACGCAAATGCTTCCATTCCCCTCCATAACTAACACAACGGTACGTTGAGGATGCGACCATAATAAATTAATCTCACACTCTTTTTCTTCATTTTTAAGTATAATTTCTTATATTATATAACTTAAATAATGATAAAATGTGCAAATGAAATGTTTTATGGGGTGACGTCGTAGTATTTGACAAATTTGATTCGATAATGAATTATGCTGCTTCATGGATGGTGATTACTTACTATAATTAGTATGAATAAAGTATTACGGAGTCAAAGGGAGTCCCCGTTCTGCCATGGTTGTGACACGCCCACGTGGTGGTCATATCAAAGGGTCCCACAGCATGGTTTTATTTCTCAACCTCTATCTAATCCTATTTCTCTCTCTCCTAATAATTCCGGTTACTTCTTTACACACTAATAAAACTAAACTATTTCTTTTGTTTATTAATATTAATTATTATTTATGAGAAATGAGTTTTCCTTTCCCACTTTATTTATACCCCTACCCATTTTCGAGTTCAATCTGAACAAGAATAACGTATCATCATCATTCTTAGTTTTCTGCTTCACCTTCTACTCCTACATATCTGAATTCTGGAGCTTCAACTCACCTCATCACACAAATCACAAGAGGTTCGTGTGTTGGGGCATGAGGGTTTACTCAACTGACCCTACTTTGCTTTGCTCTAAAGTCTAAAGTATTATAGTGCCTTTTGAAACGCTAGCTAGCTCCTTTCTGCAAACCGAGCCTAGCCACATATTGTTTGAACAAGAAGCTAAGGCTAGCTAGGCTATAACTATTATTATTACCTGATTCGTAATTATTAATAACAAAACATGTTGCACTGTCTGAACACTTCGGGAAATCTAGATGGGAGCGGCTCCGACATGACAGTGATGGAAAGGCAAAGGGCAAGGATGAAGTGGCAACAAGAACGAGGATACTTCTCTGCAACTATGTTCTCTTCTAATTCTCAGGATTCTGAGGGGTCCATCATGATCGCTGCTGATTCCGCTTCTTCACTTGCTCAGGTTGTGGCTCAGGCTCACTCAATGAAGCCTGACCCAATATTCCACAACTTTGAGGCTGGCTTTGATGTCAATTCTGCAATTTCAAGGACTTATAGCTGTCCTCCTTCTCTGGCAGAACCCAAAGGCACAGACTTGTCAATTGGGAAAGACAGTTCTAAGAAGAGGAAAACTGACAAGGCTCAGAATCCCAAGGTGAGTGTGTCTTTCTATTTCTGGCCATTTTTGCATATAGAGAGAACATGTTACGCATCCTCAGATATTTATGAATATGATCTTTTTAGTGTTAGAATTGTCTAAACTAGGCATAGGAAATTTTTGTTGGTTTTGTTTAGGTTGTTGCAGAAAATGATAACAAAGACAAGAGGATCAAGGTAGGTGGTGCTGACGATGGGGAATCCAAAATCACAGGCAAGACCAGCACAAAGAATAACACAACAACCGCAGATAGCAACAACAACAACAGAGAAACTTGTGGAGAACATTCAAATTCAAAAGCTTCCGAGGTTGAAAAGCCTGACTATATTCATGTCCGAGCACGTCGTGGCCAAGCCACTGATAGCCATAGCTTAGCTGAAAGAGTCAGTAGTAATTGACCCTTTTTTTTTTGTTTTTTTTTTAAATTTTTGGTACAACTTCTCTCTTTAGATTTTTGCCGTTGGAAATTCAAAGCAAGTTTTCTTCTTATCAATTTTCGTGCAGGTTAGAAGGGAAAAAATTAGCGAGAGAATGAAGTATTTACAAGATTTAGTACCCGGTTGCAACAAAATTACAGGAAAAGCTGGAATGCTTGATGAAATCATCAATTATGTTCAGTCTCTTCAAAGACAAGTTGAGGTTAGAGTTAGGTCCATTTCATTCTTTGCTTTAGACATGGATCCATCCATCCAAAATTTATGTAAAACCCACTATTTATCTAAAGTATATATGGTTTCACTTTGAGCATCAATTAAAGGCCATGTGACTTAGTATATACATATTATGATCTTATGCAGTTCTTGTCAATGAAATTAGCTGCTGTGAACCCGAGGCTTGACTTCAATATTGATGATGTGTTTGACAAAGAGGTAAGGGACATGCAGATAGCTTATCTTTTAACTCAATTGCATTCTCTGTTGCTAATTAACATACTACTTTTATTTGACCCCCACAGGTGTTTTCTGCTTGTGCTGCTACTTTTCCAACCATAGGGATGTCATCACAGATGTCTAACCCTTCTTATCTTCAGTTCAATTCACCACAGCAAATTGTTCCGTGTGGTGGATTAGATATGACGATGAGCACTTCAGATGTGGGGCTCAGAAGGACCATAAGTGCTCCTGTATCGATGCCTGAAACGTTTCTTGACTCGTCCTGTTTCACTGTAGGTTTCACCTCTGTTTACCTGTCCATAGTGTTGTTCTAGTTGTGTTTTTTCTGTTTTCTCAATTTGATTTTATTTACGTGCGTTGCAGCAAATTTTACCCTCCTCAACATGGGAAGGTGATTTCCAAAACCTTTACAATGTGGCTTTTGATCAAGCCCCAGCAACATCCTTTCCTCATCAGCTATTCACTGGTACCTAAAAATTTGTGTCTTGTCAAATCACTTTTTTCCTTAGCCTGGTTTCTTAACAGGAGAAAGTAGAAACAAAAGACTCTGGATTTTAATAGATGATGGAGACGTCTGAGTCCCACTGATATTGATAAGAGCATAGCAAATGCTTACACCATATTTTTTTTTTTCTTTCTCAAAATAAAGAATTTTTTACAAAGTTTTCTTTTATGTTTTCTTTCCCTTTCGCACTACTTCTACTCACAGAGGAAGTAAAGGTATTGTGCAGTTTGATAAATGCTAGATTCTACATAAGTAGTATATTACACCGAATTATTTGAATCACATGACAAGAAACACTCATTTGGCATGTTAATTGTATTTTGTTAAATATAATGGATAACATTAAACAGGAAGCTCGCACTACTATTGAATCGTTTTCTTCAAGAAATTTTAGTCAAGGGAATTGCAAAGTGGACCTGTTTCTGCTTGCCATTCCACAGTCTCTCTTTTTTAGGACCAAATGAATTATTTACTACTTTGGGAGTAATTGTACTAAGCTACTCTAATATAAATTCTAAAAGTGTTCTTTGATATCTCTGCAGGTCTAGTTGAAGCTAGCAATCTAAATATGGACATGTAGAGCAGAGCTCATATTACCATTCGTTGGATTAGCTCACCCCAGATGCCTCTTATCAAGATTCTTTTTCTTTTCAAGTACATAGCATATATATTGTTTGTATACTGTTTCATAATATAAATAAAATTATATTAATACCTATTAGCTTCAGTCACCTCCTATTAGTGGCAACTTTTCACTGCTCTCTCTCTCTCAGTATAATAAATTTTTGGTAATGCTGAAACCGACATGAACTGGATACATATTAGAATATAAAGCATAAACAAATACTTAGTCACTTAAAACAATCTTTGTATTCACAAACTTATAATGGCTTGTACAGTGTGTGGAGCAAGTTAAGCAAGTGCAAGAATTTGGCTTTTGACTCTTATGACCTTTAATTAATAATTAATTATCAAATTGTCTTTCATTTAAAATTACTTTGAAAATTTAACCTCCCCAACAAATATAACACCAATCTGTCCCTGTTTGACCGTTGACCACGAAGCCTACTCGGGTATTTTTTGAAAAATTTTATCTACCCCGGTAGGGAGAGGTGTACCTGGGTATAGTTCTTGAATCTGGGAATTTGTTTGAATTATTTACCCGGGTAGGGAGGAGTGTACCCGGGTAAATCGCGTCCAGAAACCCCAATATCTATAGGTTTCGGCCATTGTTGCGAGGTATAGGGTTTTTGAAACCCCAAATCTCTCTCCCTTACCCTCTCTAATCCGAAACATCACAAATGATATAAACGAAAATACAATGAATCAGAACAGAAATCAGAACATAATTGAAAAAAACGAAAAAAAAATGCACGTTTGATCGATTTCAATTGGTAGAAGGCAGAGAGGTTGCAAGGTCCGCGAATGATGATCAGAAACAAGACGAATTGGTGCAATATTATGCCTGAAATCGCTCAAGACGACACACCTCTAGCAGCTCTACCCGGGTACCCCTTTGTGGGTTTTCGAAATGGGCTGCTGGGGTATTTAAAAACCCTACGGTCGATGTTTACCCGGGTACACTCCTCCCTACCCGGGTAAATAATTCAAAAAAATTCTCAGATTCAAGAACTATACCCAGGTACACCCCTCCCTACCCGGGTAGATAAAATGTTTCAAAAAATACCAGGGTAGAAAGGGGTGTACCCGGGTAGGCTTGGTGGTGAACGGTCAAACAAGGGCAGATTGGTGTTATGTTTTTGAGGGGGGTTAAATTTTCGAATTAGTTTCAAATGAAGGTTAAATTGGTAATTAATTAATAATTAAGGGACATAAGGGTCAAAAAGCCGCAAGAATTTACAACTATCGCTTAAACATAACATATTCCCATCAAATTTAATAATTATGTTGGCAGACTTTACCTGACTCACTGAAAATACCTTGAGATACTCCTTCCATCTTTTTCACATGAGAAGATCCACTCTCATCTTTTCTTTTCTTTTTCATTCAAATACAAATGATTCGAGAGTTAGTAGTGGAACTAACATATCACTTTTTATGAACTAAATTATCTACGGTTCTGTGATTCAATTAAGCCTTATCCATTTAGTTGGATGAAGCAGAAAGAAAACATTGAATGCTTGAAAGAGAGAGAGGAAATGAGAATGACAGTGGACCTTCACTAAAGAGCCTTTGCGGACAGAGTAAGAGGCTGTTGATTGAGACAGTGATAGCTAGGCCACACAATGATGAATACATAAGCTATAAATATGGTAGGGAGAGGAGAAGGATGGGTAGGCATTTCCATGTCTTCAATTTATTAGAATGATTTTTTTGTCTCTTAAGTACAAAAAAAGAACTATGATTCAATTCAATCAAAAGGGTCATTTCTACTCATTTGTCTATTGTTAAAAGGATAGATGGTCGGTCACCCCAGTTGTCAAATGTTTAGAATAGTATGGACAAAGGACCCACGTGTTTGTTCATTTGAGTTCTTCAATTGCTTAGACTTGGGATCATGGGATCATTTAAGGATTAAGAAGCTTTCTAAGCAGAGCTTCATGGATACTAAGAAGTTCATATACCTTCTAAATCATTAACAGACATAAATATTGGACGTAGATTCACGTCTTAATATGCATGAAAGGAGCTTTTCAATGTTAGGTTGCATCGACGGTTAATTAGGGATTACTTTTTATCTTGGAGCTACAAGTGAAGTGACACAGCTATACTTCACTTTCAAGGCACATATAATGGTGACAATGGTGGACCTGTCTCATTCATAGCCAAGATTTTGTTGATTCTCTACCCTTTCACTCACATGGGACGCCGTTGAGCTGTTCCAAGGCTCGTGAAAGGATAAGGAAAAGCCACAATGATTCCCTTGGTAGCAGCATAAAATATCAGTAAAACTTTAAAAGCATAAATCAACTTGAGTTCCATGTTTGTGTCTCATTCTTCTTCGGAAAATTCTAAATCTTGACCACATGCCCCCAGGCCGGATCAGGTTTTAAGGAGGAACGTTTGGCCCAACATTCTAATTGTATATTTTTAATTTAATATTTATTGACACATATTTTTTTTAAAAAAAGGAGAAACTTCCATTGTTATTGCTGACACGTCAGAAAAAAATTCTTACGGTATACGTAATAATTATGAAATTCTAGACGACGTTGTTTCTCGTTTTAATTTAAAAATAAAAAAGACTAGTAATTTGTCTTTTTGGGAAGATGCTTCTACTAGTACTACTGTTGTACCAAAGATTCAGTACATCCCACCAATAAAAATATTATATGTTAGCTAAATTTTTTTTTTCTGTCAGATTTTTTTTTGCTCTCCTGTGATGTAATACTCTCTTTGATGAGATGCACTGAATTTAAGTACAACAGTAGTACCAAAGATTTATTTCTCCCTGAAAAAGAAATTTATGTCCGACTCAAAACAGTAGAGGAAAGAAAAAAATAATGAGAAAGAAAAAATTGATGGTGTGAGCCACATGCATTTGTGAGTCAATTAGAAATGAATTTCTCTTTCCTCTAACATAAGAAATCTTTTTCCCCTTTGTTTAACTCCGAAATGTTTCCTAGTGGTAACATTTAACAAGCACATTCAACCAAAACAAAATTGGGCCCCAAACTAGTTGAGAAAGATAAGACAAACATAGTCATCTAACTCAATTCTCCATTTCCATTTGTTTTATAATGGAGAATGGTGACCCCGATATCGATATATATGCAGATAAACTTTAAGCAGTTAAAATTTTCAAAATCAACTAAACAGACAAAGTCTAAGAAGAGTCAATAGATTATTGACAGTAAGAGCAACAATATATCAGTTAACAATATATTACGGCATTGTATACAAACTATTCCTAGCGGTCACATAAAAAGCATTCAAAATGCTCGTAAAAGCAAATGAGACGGAAGCCATGGCAAGTAAGTCATAACGAGTTTCACAAAAAAGTGAACATAGGCAGCCAAACAATTATTAAGTTCCAGAAAATTATATTCTCCAACTACCATATTTGTGGACACTTCTTACTTGCAAAACGAAGTAAAATACTCGTGAATTTCCGAACTGAAAAGTGGGTTATCACAAAACAAAACACACCACATGAGGTTCATTTTTTGTTCCAATGAATTAGAATCAATCTTCACACTAGTATATGAAGTTAGCTATATACTCAAACAAAGCCAATATACAAAACAGACTCTTTTACAACATAATTCCACTAGATGATTGACGCATCCCCGGCATCTGTCAATCAAAGAAATGAAACACCTTCAGAATTCTAAAATTCAGCTGCAAGAAAATGTTGAAAAAGAATGACCAAGGTGAGGAAGGCAAACCTTTTCCAGGAACAATCACAACAGGTGCTGCTTTACAGTGGTGAAAGCAGTACTCACCAACACTTCCGTGCAATACGCTGAAGAAAATCACAACATCAAGCCCACAAGTGCATCAGAAAAATGGATAACAAAGACACAATCTCACTCACAGACACACAGGGAGGGAATGGAGGGGCAAACCTTTGAATCAAGCTTCTGCCTCTGGTCCCCATTACCACAGCTGCAGGTTTGATCCTCTCTGCTTCCTTGCAAATTACTTTTCCAGGATCACCTTCCACAATCCGAGCTACTGATTTCACCTGTTTTACATCATAAATAATCGATTAGGATTACATAATGGATGAGAATTTCAACCGAACAAAACCAAAGACTGACAGAGAAAGAGTAATAACAGGCGATCATCAATACAGGTTAACCATAAAATTGAATTCAGAAGAAATGGCATTTCTTGTACTCAACTAAGAAAGCACCAGAGTCACCGAAAAATGTTGGTAGGGTTTATTACTACATGCTAAGGACTCAAATATAAAGCAACTGAAAATCTTTGAAGCCATAATAAAAGGTCTCAGCTGTTCAAGAGAAACATTCTCAACCGTTGAAAAGATGTTTCAATTTAGCATTGTGATACAATCCTAGTCATCAAACGGTTTACAAGGTTGTCTAAAAGAAAGAGAAGCAGGGGAATATTGCATAATGCTGAGTCAGCAAAAGTTGTTAGGAGTGGAGATTAGTTGTAGGAAGGCACATTGGGTCACGTAGGGGGAGTTGGTTCTATTTAGAGGAGGGGATCAGCATTCTAAAGAGCATCTTGGAATATTGTGTAAGGAATGGAACCTTGGGAGAAAGTGAGGCCTCTCCAATTGTCTCACATTATCATTTCCCCTTTCTGCATTATCATTTCATTTTCCAGTTCACTATTATTTTTCCTTTCCCTGTAATTGCTGTCTCTGTTTTACTGCTATTAGGTTGTAATGTCTTTTTGTAATTCCATGGATATATGAAAAGCTTGGTTTATCAGACCAATATTCCCTATTCTCTGTTGTTGATTATGTTTGGTGTTGGAGGTCTCTATCAAATTGTGTTGAAATATATAAAAACCATTAACTGTAACCTCACCTAATAGCTTAAGCTTTTGGGTTGAATTGATTTTTTACGTGGTATCAGAGCCTCGTGTCCCAGGTTCGATCCTCGCCGCCCCCCACTTTCTTTCAAGTGGAATTTCTTTGTTCGCACAGGTAGGTGGGCCTGTGCATTGTCCACCCTTCAAGCCCAGTGAGCTCTTGTGTGAGGGGGCGTGTTGAAATATATAAAAACCATTAACGTAACCTCACCCAATAGCTTAAGTTTTTGGGTTGAATTGGTTCTTTACAAAGTGGTATAGAGCTCTTGATCTGAGAGCTTTGGTATTCGATTTTAAGATGATTCCAATATTTGATGGAGTGGAAGCATATGGACGGTAGATCCAAATGGAGCAACACTTCAAGGTGAAAGGAACTCCAGAAACTAAGAAAATTTCAGAAGCTGCGAAGGGACTGAAAGGATACGATCGCATTTGGTACCCTTTCAGGAGGGGGTCGAATTCGAAGGCAAGTTGGTGGGATTTCTCAAAGGCGATGCTAAAGGAATTTCAGCCAAAATACGATCCAGACTTATTTCTATATGACGAAGAGGAATTTGAATTCAGAAATGGAAAGTAAGGGAACTTCGTGATAGAGAAGAAGGAGACATTGAAACAGGAGAAGGAGGGTGATGGTGAAGATAAATCGACAAGAGCAAGGCTGGTTTCAGTTTTAGAATGGCCGGTGGAGAAGGAAACAAAAGTTGAAAAACCAAGGTCAAAGTATAAATTAAATCCGCATTGGAGGAGGAAGCTATACAATTGCTTCCAAAACTAGAAAAAAAGATGCTAAAAGAGAAAGAGGTCAAGGTTGAAAAAACAAATAGTGACAAAAGGGAAGTTATGGATGAGAGAAAGGATTGGGGCAAGGCGACACATAAATCAGCGACACAACAGTCTTCGTTGGTGGTAGTTGACCCGTCACCAGGGCTGTCGGATCTGCGCATTCACAAAAGGGAGGACACATCTTCACGCGGTCATGAAAAGAAGAAGATGCAAGAACTGATTGTAACTAAGTTGTGGCTACCTAGGTCAGGAAAGGAGTTGTAGATGTTAGATCATGTTACAGACGCAATGGGTCGAGCCCAAATCATGTGCAAATTAGCCAGCCCAATTAGATTAATTCGGGTCAAGATGAACCGATGCCCATTAAGTTGAGAATAATGGGTTACCAATTTTGTAAGAAGCCTCAAAAGACAACGATCTCCTTCCTACCAACCCTAGTGATACCGCAAGCAAGGAGACTGCAAAACCTTAGAGAAACAAGAGACAATGGCAGCCATGGATGCAGGGGCGGTGGGTGGAGATTTTCGAAGGAGGATATCCAGACGAAATCGCAGAATGAATTATTCTTCAATCTCGACTATAGGTGGAACCCAAATCACCAATGTAATGTTCGTTTGTTGAATTTGCTGATACCATAGGAGGAGAATGATGGCAACGAAGAGGTAAAACACTGCCATGGAGGGAGTTGGCAGAAGGGGATGAAAGCAAAAGGGAAGAGGAAAGAATTTGGATCAAGCCTTGGATTAGGCCAATTTGTATGTCAGGCCAAAGTTTCGGGCAAATGGATCCAAGATCAATCTTATCCTATCTATGTTCTAGTAGAAAATAAGCGCACTGTTCAGATATATGCTTTTGATATTGGGAGAGATTTTTTGTCTTGCAAAATGAATTAGGACTGTGCATGGTTCAAACTACTGGTCATGACTTTCTTGATAGCTTGGGAGGTGATACCTATCATGGGTTTCATGAAATTGAAAATGCACTAACAAATATAACTTGTTTACAGCTTGTTTAACCGTACAGGTTGATCCAAAATTCAAATTAATATATTTTAATCCTTATGCAAAGGTTGTGTTTGTACCAAATTACAATGAGTATATGGCAGGCGTGGTCATTCTAGGGAGTAAACTATCCAGGCATATTAGCATCGCAGACATGGAAGCAAGTGGCACAAGCCATATAAAATTTGCTTTGAATGGATGCCTTATAGGTACTTTAGATGGAACCAATGTTGAAATCAGGGAGGATATTAGTAATGAGAATTTTTTCCTCTATGGTGCAAAAGCAGATGTCCATAGTCTGCTGAAGGCAAGGGAGAAGGGATTGTGCAAACGCGATCCTTGGTTTGAAGAGACAAAATAGATTTCTGTAAGGGGGGTGTTGGAAGCTATGACTATAGCCCCATGCTTGAGTCCTTGGTGGAAAAATTCTAGTTATTGCCATGGTGATTACCTTCTTGGTCATGACTTCCCAGGCTATATAGATGCTCAGTGGGAACCGCCCAGGGGGGGGGGTTCAAGCAATGGGATCCCAGAGGCAATATCATTGTTACTTGCACTCACCTTGAGGACAAGGTGATGGTTTTTTTGGGTGGGGGGAGTATTGATACGATACCACCTAAGGACAATTTAGTGAAAGCAATACGGCTGACTCAGCTAGGCAGTTATAACTGCTTGCAAATGGTTCGAATAGACTTAATGGCGTGGGAAATGAGGTTGAGGTGGTTAAATAGTAAGTAATGAGAAGAGAGAGGGCTATCTGGAAGTTGTATTGAGAATAGACCTTAGAAAAAAGTGAGGCCTCTCCAATTGCATAGTTATAATTGCTTGCAAAGGGTCCAAACAGACTTAATGGCGTGTGAAGTGAGGTTGAGGTGGTTAAATAATAAGGAAGGAGAAGAGTGAGGGCTATCTAGAAGTCGTATTGGGAAAGGACCTTGAGAGAGTGAGGCCTCTCCAATTGTTCACATTATCTTTTTCCTATTTCATCTCTATATTTTTCTTTTCCCAGCTCTGCAGTTGATTTACCTTGTCATGTCTAAACTGTTTCACTGTCATTTTATACTGTAATACTCTTTGAGATTCCGTAAATACAAAAAACTGGTTTCACTAGGCCAAAAAACTCTGTTCTTTGCTGTTGTTTCTTTATTTAAGCGGAGGTCTCTACCAAATTGGTATCAGAGCTCTGATCCGAGAGCTTTGGTAACCGATTTCAAGATGATTCTAGTGTTTGATGGAGTGGTAGCTTATGGATGGCAGATCCAAATGGAGCAATACTTCAAGGTGAAAGGAATGCTGGGAACTAGGGGCCTAAATGGGCTAGGCTAGGCTGGGCTTTGGCCTTCCTGGCCTAAGCTTAAGTAAAAAAATATTCAGCCTATTGGCCTATTACAGGCTTCGTTTATAGGTCTGACCTGACCTATTTTAAAAAATATAGAAAGCCTGCTATGGCCTACAGGCCTCCCACTGCAGATACTGAGCAAAGAAAATAATTGTATATAATTGTATAGAACAAAGAAAGTTCCATTTATGCATGCACTAATACTTCTCATAAGAAATAAAAAATGACAAACAAGAGTCAATATAATACCCTAGATCTATAATGTATATCAGAAGAGATTTAGAGTCAAAGAAATGAGAAAAATAAAAAAGAAATACAATTACTGGGTCAACCAAAGATGAAACTTAGAGATAAGAGTGAGAAGTCACTTAGAAGCGGTGATGCACAAAAGAAATTAAAGTTGATAGTTTGCCACCTAAAATAAATATATTATTTTATTTTAAAGAATTAAATAAGCCAGCCTATAAGGCTTTAGGCCAGGCTTGACAAAGTTGGCCTACTTTTAAAAAAAGCTTTCTTGCAAGCCTAAGCCTACTCTACTTCTCAGAAAGGCCAGGCTAGGTCAGGCTCAACATAGGCCAGGATGTAGGTCAGGCCAAGCCAGCATGGCCCAAAATTTTAGAAGCAGCAAAGGGACTAAAAGGAAACGAACATATCTGGTACCTTTGCTAAAGGGCGTTGGTGGGATCTCTCAAAGGCGATGCTAAAGTAATTCCAACAGGGATACGATCCTGATTTATATCTATGTGGCGAAGAGAAAGGCAGGGGCCGTTTGTATTCAGAAACGGAGAGGGAAGGAAACTTGGTGATAGAAAAGGAGACACCTAAACTGGAGAAGGAAGCAGAGAAAGAACACGAACAAACGCGTAAGCAGAAACTGCTTCAGCGAAAGCAGGCAACGGAGTTGAGGGAAGAGACCATAGAAAAAAAGGATGTAGGTGTGCAAGAACAACTAACACCATCACCATCGGCAATGTTCGCCGATGCAACGCTATCGCTAGGACCGTCAGATTTGATTTTGTCTATAAGGATGGAAGATTATGCGCAGTGCAATTAAGAAAGAATAAGGTGGGTGATAAGTCTCTTAAATGAGACTTGAAACATATGGTTTAATGTGAAAATGGAGAGAAAAGAATAATTTTTGTGTGATTAAAAACCCCAAATTTATGTTGAGTTGAAATATAATAGGTTTTGGATACTAATGGGCTCATTTTTTATTTTCAGGCCCATATGTTACTTTCCAAATCAGAGAAACCCAAATCAAAGAAGAGAAGAAATAAAAGAAAAAAAAAAGAAATGGGCTGATGATTGTTCATTGACTCACCAGAAGCCCATTTGTAAGGGAAAGACACAAAACCTACGAAAAGACCAACACAAAAGTAGCTAAGTAACATCTGAGTCTTCAGATCTCACGAACCCTAATCCTCTCTTTCTCAAACCACGACTCAGACCCTAACCACAGCCTCACACCAAATCCTTAACCTTTCATTTCAATCCAACCACTTAGCCATCCAAAACGATCATCCAGTCTCATTTTCTGTCACCCATTGAACCACACAAGCCTGCTTTGTAAGGCTATTGTTCTAGAAGCCATACACAAACAGATTAGTGACGAGGATACTGTTATGAGTGCGGAGAAAAATTTCATTTGCAAAATTTGTTGCGATTGTGGAACGGTTGGGGACCACTGGTGTGTAACGCGCAAGGAGCGCGTGTATACCTGCTGAGCTGGAGAGGAAAATCGCGCAAAGAAGGAAAGGAACCCTATAAAAAGGGAAAGAGGAGTGAGTCAAAGCGGTCCCTTCTTCCGACTCCTGATTTTCTGATTTATCGTTTTTATTAGTTCTTGCTTTCTGCACAATTTTTATTTTCTTTTAATTTCTATTTTGTAATGAGATTCTGGTTCATCTGATGAACTCGATACATGCATTTACAGCACTGAAATTGCTGGTTGTTAGGCGAGTGCTGTAAATTATTTTCTAGCATTTCTTTTTTGTAATTTCTTTAGTTTTCTGTTACTGTGTGTAAGCCTCATCCATATGGATAGTGGCTAACTTTTTAGAGGTTGGGTTTTAGGTGATACCCAAACCTCAGTTCTTGTCAAATATTTGATTTTCTGGTTTTAATTTTTATATCTCAGTTGTTTAATGTTTTTTTTTTTATGTTTAAAATTATCTGCATTTTGGCCAGATGTCAGAGGTTTGGTTAGGATTTAGTTGTTGAGAAACAACTAATTCTGGATTCTGCATTAGACACATGGACTTAGATGAGAAATCATCTAAGGGATCTCAATTCAGAAATGAATGAGTCCTCATGTAATATTGGACCTGAGTCTCAAGAGTCCTAATCCCACTTGGCATAGAGATATGGAAGTGGGCAAATTTGGGATAAAATAATTTTTAAGAGATTAAAAATTAACAATACAGTTCTGTTAACTGAGAATCTTAGGATGAGCTTTTTGTTAATCAAATTATTTTTCAAGTACTGTGGGGAAGGAGAGCCAGAACTCAACCCACCTTTTTAAACTTCTTTATCAACTCAGATTTCTAATTTCCTTTGTTATTTCATATTTCAATCTCTGTTCTGTTTCAAATTTTAAATACAAAAAAAAAAGAAAAGAAAATTCTTGTCACATCTGTCATTTAATTTGCTTCATTCTTACTCCTTATTTTATAATTTAGGAAAGTAATTCAGAAAAATTTTAAAAGAAAAGTGAACAGTAGTATTTTAGATCCATTCTAGATTATTTTTACTTTACAATTTTTATTTCTTTTATTTTCAAATAGTAACTCAGTTTTAAGCAATTACAAATTTTAGTCATTTCAAAACGCCAACGATCCTTGTGGGAACGATAACTGGGACTTATAACAGCCCTATATTACTTGTTGTCGCGTATACTTGCGCGCATTACTTGCACAACTGTTAGCAAGGCAACAGTGGGCACAAGTGTGTAAAGAATCGAAGAATGAGAAGTGAAATATGGGCAGGATTGGAAAGAGACCCACAATGTAGCAATAAACATGGAGGAAGATTATGAACTCATTAAGGAGAAGAAGGGAAACAAATCAGATCTGAGTTGAAATTGGGTCAAGTTATAGACCCGTTCCTAATTAATGCCAGGTTTTTTCCAGCCCAATTAAAAAGGAATGGCATCTCTGGTTTATATAGTTATTGGGCTTGTAAGCCCATGAATGTGCTCGAGTTAAGTGAGATAAGAAAAACATGGTCGCCGTTTAAGCATGTTGGATTGGACCTTCGAAGAACAAGGAAATGCAAGCAGGCTCATTGAGTTAATCAGGGAACTATTGGTCCATTCTTCTTCCATATTGCAAACCCTCAACCTCTTGATTTGCAATGGGGACGGCTGCAGGGAACGATGTGGGGCATGAAGCCGTACCTGTTCCAGGTGGGGAATTGTTGCCATTTTCGTTCCATGGTGGTGTGAGGTATTGTTAGGGAGCATATACCAGAGGTGGTGGAATTGTTGGCCATTGGAGAAGGGTCTTCAGTTTCGTTTCAAAGTTGCGACAGTGCTTCAGTTCGGAGAAGCAGAGCTTGAGAAGGAGGCAAAGATCAACAAGGGTCACGTGGTGGGTGTCGATTGGCTACGAAATTTGAATTTCAAACCCAAACTCTTGCTCATGGCGCTAGTTAGCAACATTCTCGACGACATTTGCAGGTTTGTGAACATTTGTGATGTTTGGGCTTTGGGGTTCATATTTGAACAACATCAATCCGAAATGTTTGAGAGCTATCCGACGACCTAGGGCAACTTAGTTTTTGCAAATAGGGAGTTAGTTTGGTGTTCAACGGAGAATTACATGAATTTATTATTCTCCTCCTTAGAGCCTGATTTTTTCCACACTAGCTCATTGGTTCGATGGTTTGCGATATGGGGTGATAAAAGAATCCACGAGTCTAGAAAGGTTGTTTCAAACGAAGGTATTATGGAAAATTCATTGTATACAGTGGGGGGGCTTGACATTAATGGCTTATCTAGCGTAGAAGCTACTTCAAAAGTCATTGAGTGGGTAGAAAAAAATGCAAATAGAACCAATGCATCCAAGGTTCTTCCTGTGCTAGAAATATCCACTGGTTTGGTCAGTTCCACAACTTCTCAAATTGTGAGCTCTCTTAGGCAATATGTTCACATTTTTAGTGGAACCAAAGTTATCTCGCTTCATCAGCGAGACTTATGATTTTTTAGGATACCCTTCAAGGAAAGGTGCTGATGACCATGTATATCCCAATTTTATGGATGTGGCAGTGATAGAGGCTGCTTCAAAATTTCTAAATGTTCATAGTATTGTGGTTGGTTGAAGTGGCAAGTAAAGGCAACAATATTACTAGTGTAGAGACCCTTGATAGCTTATTCACAAAACCACATGGAAGAATTGAAGAGGGGCAATGGGATCCTGGTGGAGGTTATGTAGCCTCGTGCATTAGTTGGCCATTAAGTTTCAAGCAATGTGACCCCCGGAAAATGATCATCACCTTGAGGACAAGGTGATTGTCAGAGGGGGAGTATTGTTACAATCCTAATCAGCAAATAGTTTAGAAGGGTGTATAAAAGAAAGAGAAGCAGGGGAATATTGCATAATCATGAAAGAGAATCGATTAGTATATATTAAAAGAGAGAGAGAGAGAGATGCTAACCATTACGACTTCAAAAGCCTCGACCGCTAATTTCTCCATCAGCCCCTGGGTTATGTCGTAAACAACTTGGTTCTTCACATCTGCAAAATATTTACGTTACTTGGTTTGAGGGGAAAAAAGGAAAAAGAATGAAAAGAAAGCTAAGAAAGAATGAAGTAAAGAAAGGAACCAGAAACTGCGTGAACGAGATGGATGGTATCAGCGAGCCTGCAAAGGTGGATGAGAGCCCAATCAAAGGCATATTTGCTGTTAGGACCATGATCTATGGCTATTAGTATATCCCTTCCTCTTCTCCTTTCCCCTGTTTCTCTCTCAAGTTCTGGCTCCGGCACCACTGGTATCAGAGAAGGAAGCCTCACTTCTCTGTAGTTGTATTCTTCTTCTTCCATCACTGTCTCCATTTTCTCAGAATTTTCAGATCAGGTCAACTTTTTCTTCGCCAACACACTATTCACAATTCAGATCAACTACTTTTGCTTTGGGTTCTCTGTATCTGTATTCCAATTTCAGATGGCGATTATTAAAATTGAATTAAAAGATAGCAAAGGGTTTTTAAATAGTTGGGGGTGAGCTGGCCCTTCTTCGTCTTTTCTAAATAGTCGCCGAAAAATTTCGTGTCCAATTAGAAAACCTGTACCTGCGTTCAATGCTTATCGGTCTCCTCTTTCAACGTTTTTTGATTTCTATTGTTTAATAGGATTTTGAAAAAAAATTCTTCCTCCAAAAATTCTCTTCGAATTTAAAAATAAGTACAATATTTATGGAAAAGCCTTACTTATTTTTATTTTTTTTTGGTAATCTGAAAGCCTTTCTTATTTTAAAATGATATAAAGTTATCTTCTTTTAAATAATAAACGTTTTTCTTCAAATTTATATATGGAGTTTATTTTTTTCATGTTGCGTGAGAAAATAAATTCTTCTGACACACACCATAGAAAGGTGTGTCACTCATTTTTTTTGTTTTTTGTTTTTTTTTAAATAGGTGAATCTCACATGTGATATATCTATAACATGAGATTAGAATTCTCTTATAACATAAGATTTATTTTTCCATTTATATATTCAACATATCATTCATCACATGATGTTATCTCCAATTTAAGGTCTTCTAGAAACAAATGGATAGCCGTTCAAATTGACCAATCTCACTTTTCCAGATTTTAAAATTTTAACCACCCCCTAAAATTGATCAATGCAAATTAGAATTTTTGGATTGCTGGATAATTGTCCGTCACTTCACTCAAAATTAGTCGGTTACGAGAATACTGAAAAGTCTGACTAGTCCCAAATAGACAATTAGAATTATGAAATTCAAAATTAAAATTAACCAATGCAACACTGCTCAAAAGAACCACATACAACATGTGGAATTGCTAATAGAATTTTTAAATATTGTAAACGTGTAACTTAGGATAGGTAACTAACTGTTATTGAACAAGAAAAGGATTGGACAAGGAACCGATATATCTAGCATATTATTGAACACTTCAATAGAATCAATACTATAGTGTAAGGAACAGATAATTCACTAACACACACAAGCATATACAGAAAGGTGGTGGAAAATACAGAGACATTAATCACGATTCTTTGTGAAACTAAAAAAAAAACTGCGTAACTAATCAATTATAATAGGGATAACGAATCAGCTTTCTTAAAATAAGGAAAAATAAAAAGTACATTTGACATGCATGTTTGTAATTATTGATAAAAAAAAAAAGTTAACTTTCTCCTCGTCGTCGGTGATGATCTCACTAGATATATCAGCAGTTACGTCGTTGTTAATGGTTAAACAACCACACCCAAATATACAGTTTTGAAAAAAAAAAAAAACATGACTCAAGCTTTGGCGTGCTTATGTCAATGCTCTTGTGCAAGGTATCATGCAGAGAGACTAACTATTTTAATGCAAAGAGTAATTATACTTGTTTGAGGTAGGTGGGGTCATGCAATTGAGGTAGGTACGGTGGCATGCAAATGCATGCTGGAGGTACACAGGTAGTGGAATACGATGACTGATTCACTGCCTGGTATCCAATGCATGCATGCGCGAACTACCCAAAAAGTGACAGATGAACACCAGTGCCCTTTTTTCAATATTTTTTTTATTACTACACAAAATTTTTATATTAATTTTATGAAATAATATAAACTTATTTCTCATTAACGGAATGAGTATGAAATTTAAATCTTTAATAAAAATAATTTAAATTCAAAAAGTATTTATATAACATTTATAAAAAATGAAATATTGGCTTAATAACCGCACATTTAGTGGTGGGCTGCCCCAAAATTTTGCAGTGGAAGACTTGACGGACAATGGCGGACCCAGAAAAATTAATTCATGTCCGCACATTTATTGGTGGGCTGCCCCGAAATTTTTTTTCATATAACTCTAGGCAGGAACCTTTCCCACCAAAACCAGCCCACCCTGATTTGTCATAAGTAGCCCAATGATTTTGCAGACAAATATTTAGCAAATTCTGATTCAGAATTCTGAAAAAGAAGGAAAAACATATAGGGTGAATAGCAACTCTAGGCGAACAAAAACATAAACTAGTAAAAATGATGTATAAATTAAATGTTACTAGTGAAGCAAGTATGAGAGTGAACCTGTGTCCAATGATTGTTGCGTTGAGCGAATGAAGTGTGCAAACCCAGAAAATATATCATAACACATGGTAAGAACTACAGAATAAAGTATCTTTCTCTAGCGAGCATATGTTTGGGCCTTTTCTCTTAACAATTTATTTGAGCATACAAAGCATAAAATTCTAGCCGTCCTATCTCTTCAGTTACTACTTTAAAAACAATATATATCAGAATTAGTAATATTTAATCTCAACACAAAAAATGTATTTAGCATCTGCATTGACAGAATTAACAGTGACAAACCTCAAAATTATCTCTGTTTTGAACATATTCCCAAGAAAGTATTTTAAATTGTTGAAGAACAACAACAACAATATCCTGAAGATATCCTATTTTTCTGAAATTCTGAGGAAAAATTGCAAGCAACAACTTAACAGAAGAAACGAGTATTTTGGGGGGGATAAAAACAATACCCTTGAACATTTCTGAGGGTCTGGTTGAATCGAGTGTCAAGGATTCCTATGGTGGTGTCTTTGTTGGGCTGATGTTGTTCCCTATTGTTGTTATCCTCGTTCTTCAATCTTCATGGTTGATCGAAGGAGGTAAGGGTTTTTTTAATCACTTTCAGTCTTCAGAGAAGATAGATCGAAGAACCCAATAATAATTGTAAACTCTAATTTTTAATCACTTTGTCATGTGCACCTACGTAGGTCCGCCGCTGCGGGCGGGTATCAACGCATTCTTGAGGTATGTAGGTGCCATAAAACAAAGTAGAATCCGATGACTTGCTGGTACATTGTTTCAGGTTATCTTTATATTGTGTTTTTCTTTCATTGGCATGGATGAGATTCTTTTGGAGTCTTTCACATATTTGTGTCTGTAAGTCACATGAGTCTATTAGATATCACTACAATACAAAATTTGAAGATACAAAACTGCTTGTCATTTTCCTATATCATGACAACTTTGCATTAGGAAATTAATTTTATTTCTTGAAAAATTTACATCTCTTTGTTATTGCAAAATGTGACCAATTTTACTATAGCTTTGACTATATTGTTATTCGAAAAATTCTCGATGGTTCATCTGGTGGTGGATTCAAAAAAATTTATGATGCGGAAAACAAATTAAATATTAAAGTTACAAGTATTATTTTGATTAATAGGATGAGTTAACTATTACAATCTAGCGAAAGAGCTAATCTTATTTTATTTTAATCCATTCGTGTCTAATTTTAATAGATTGCATCATTGCATGGATGGATATCTAAATTAGTCATTTAAAATTATTTTATTTTATTTTATTTAATAAAAAGGAATTATATCTCTCATTAGTGAATCAAGGTTTTGCAATAAAGATGTATCTAAATTTTCTTTTAACAAATACATTTCGAAAAAAATGTTTCTGAGTTAATGCAGATAAGTTATCTGCGTTTATTCCCAAAACAACATCGTTTTGGTATTGAAATCTTAAAAAATTATGAATATAAGGACTATTATAACCCTAAAATAAATTAAAATTACAAAAACACCATGATTTCCGTCCCAAAACGACGTTGTATTGACTTACTGCAAATAAATTATCAAATTATCTGCAGTAAGTTCAGAAAAAACGAACCCATATATTTCATTTTTCTAAAATGAATTCAAATCCCACCTTGATATTTTGTCTCACCTAAATGCACTGAGACAGGCTATGTGTCGAAATACATTTATTTGTCTGAAAAGATCAGTACTATATAGGACAAGTACCATGATAACTCCATCTTATTGTGAGAGCAGAGCAATTTGTCCTCTTCTAGTTAAAAAAGAGCAAATTCTTCAATGGCAGGGACTAGCAATAGCAACGTTCTGATCATCGGAGGCACCGGTTACATCGGAAAGTTCATCGTTGAAGCAAGTGCCAATGCTGGCCACCCAACCTTCGTTCTGGTCCGGGAGTCTACTCTTTCCAATCCCGCTAAATCATCCATCATCGACAAATTCAAGAACCTGGGTGTCAATTTTGTTATTGTGAGTAAAAAAATCCTCTCAACCTTTGCCTACTTAAAAATTATCAAAGGGTGCTTTTTGACATATTTTTATGGGAAAAATTAGTAATTATGTGATTCGAGAGAGAATGTTTCTCTAGAGCATTCATAAATCAAGGATAGAACTTACTCTCTCTTTTTTCTGTCTTCTCTTCTCTCTTCTAATTTGTGAGTTCTCTCACGTTTAAGTAATATTTCCCTATTTTTATTTATAAATTAAAATTTAGACCCATCTAGACCAAAAAAATAAAAAACAAAAAAAAAAATCAAGAGAAAGAAATAATAAAAAAATTAAAATAAGTAATTTTAGAATAAATGAGATGGCAGTTATTTCATATTTGACCATTAGACTTTAGTTTTTGATGGATGTAGCTGGTGAAATTGTTAATTGAATTGGATGTTGTCCTTTATTATATATGCAGGGAGATCTATATGATCATCAGAGTTTGGTGAAGGCCATAAAAGAGGTTGATGTGGTAATCTCTACAGTAGGACACTTTCAGCTAGCTGATCAAGATAAGATCATTTCTGCCATTAAAGAAGCAGCAAATGTTAAGGTATACTCTTTCAATTTTTAAGTAAAGCACTTGCACCGTTTTCTTTCTGTTTTGTTTTCAACAATTCCTTTTTTGTGCTCTGCAGCATTAGCATTTTCTGATGTTGATACTGTTTCATAACCAAAATCAAACCTTTTAAGTATAGAAAGATCGGTTTAATATTGGTGGCTTCTTTTGGATCTATAGCTAAATTACCCAACTTAAATTTGAGCTGAACCACAATTTCGTGCATCTAAACATTAAGTGTTTCGAAGAAGACAAGGTGAAGCTTGTTCTTCTTCACCTTGATAATCGAAGACATCATAAAATTATCATATAATCTGAAATATGACATTGCATGTTCTAATTTGTGTAAAAACTGCTGCGATTGCTTCAGTTCTAATTCTGGATGACAGAAAATTTATATATATTTTGAGGTTGCTCAAACGACTATTTTATTTCACAGAGGTTCTTTCCTTCGGAGTTTGGAAATGATGTGGACCGGGTTCATGCAGTTGAACCAGCAAAGACTGCATTTGCCACTAAGGCCAAAATTCGCCGAACCATTGAAGCAGAAGGAATTCCCCATACTTATGTGTCAAGCAACTTCTTTTCTGGTTGGTTCCTACCCAATTTGTCACAACCTGGAGCTACAGCTGCCCCGAGAGATAAAGTTGTTATCTTGGGAGATGGAAACCCCAAAGGTTAAATCTCAAGATTAGAAATTTACATGTCACTCGTTGTCCTATTACTAACATGTGCTTTTTAACAGCTGTTTATAACAGGGAGGAGGATATTGCTACTTATACTATCAAATCTGTTGATGATCCAAGAACCTTGAACAAAATTCTCTACATCAGACCACCAGCTAATACCTTATCGTTTAATGACTTGGTATCTCTTTGGGAGAAGAAGATCGGTAAAACTGTTGAAAGAATCTATGTATCAGAGGAACAACTCCTGAAGCAAATTCAAGGTTAGTAAGTCATCATTATTTGGGATATGTGCTGGATTTAACAGTGATAACTTAATTTTCTTTTCTTTTCTTTTTTAGAGGCCTCACCACGCTTAAATGTGATCCTGTCGATTGGTCACTCTGTCTATGTAAAGGGGGATCACACTAACTTTGAAATTGAGCCAGCATTTGGTGTCGAAGCTTCAGCACTCTATCCTGATGTGAAATATACCACTGTGGAGGAGTACGTTGACCAGTTTGTCCGTTGATATATCCTCTTGGTAAAACTTAATTTTCTAACTAAATAAAACAATCTAGTAGCACTTCCTTGTTGAGCTGTGCTACTTAGGAACTATGTATGAGTTAGAAACCTATGCTACGTATGCTTTGATAGTTTTATTCCGTGCCTGTTTAAGTTATCAATTTCAATTTTTACTTTCCTTTACTTCTATGAAAATTCAGAGTGAAAATATAAATTTTAATGGAAAGGTAAACAATTTTATTTTCCTTTTTTGATTTTATTTGGAGTTCATCAATCGCGAATCAAGATTAATTTAGAATAAAGGTAATGATGATATTTGCTATGAAAATTGAAAAGGGCAATAATAGTACGTTTGAGGCCTTGTCATCTAAGACACCTGTAGTCGGGAAAGAAATGGATGTGAGACCTATTATATGCAAGCAAATACTAGGACTACGTAACCCATGTTAAAACATGTCCATATCCTTCATGAACTCTCTCAAATAGTCACTAACTTTCTCAAAAACCGTTTTGATCAGGCCTTTAATTTTACCTTTCATGATATAGACGACTTCTAATGCAAGGGGGTAATGATTACATGCCGTTGAACAAAATGATTAATTGGTAAATGCATGATGTACAACACTACTGAAAATGGACAGTGTCTAAATTGCTTAAGCACATCGGCTTTCAACTGCATCATAAGTAATGGGCCCAACGTTAGTCGTACTTTAAGAGACAGATTACAAGAAAAAGTGACCCCTATCAAATCTTTTATTATATAGTAGAGGCAGAAATAAAAGAAAGTGATGGGTGAACTTTGCCTTAATATTGTGGTAGAGAGCACCAGTCAAGGTAAGATTACAGCATCACAAACTCACAATACAAGCAGAGCTTTACAAGAAAATAAAAAACTGAACTCAATACCAATGTGTATCAACAATGAAGTTCACTGCCAATAGTAGCACGTCTTCTGGTATAATAAAACGAGTGAACACTAAGATTTTCTGTAACTGCATACTAGCATTCATAATAATCTGAATACAAATTCCTTCAAAAAAAAGGGCGAAAATTAACTACCCTGAATGTTCACAAAACCTAACTTGTCCTTCATTAAGTAGATCCGTGTTCTACACATCTCGCAGGCAAGTTTTAGTCTGCACGAGAGCCACTGCTACTTGCAGAAGATTTCTTACCGCCATACTTCTGTAAAATATTAAAAGAAATCGTGCATTATATGTCAGGTAGAGGATATAAAATAAAGCAAATCTTACTTCCGCTGGACTTAAGGTACAAAAAAATAACAGGTGCACAAGGCAAATGATACAAAAGAGATTTAAGCATAAGAAACTCAACCTGCTTTCCAAGGTTGAATGGGATATATTTGTATTTGATCATGTGTGCAATTTGGCGCCTCATTGTAAGGGCAAAGAGAACAATCCAATAACAAAGTAATATAGGCCAAAAGACAGGAACATCAAATACGGACAAGAAGGTCATCACAAATGCAATGCAGAAAGCCTTTGTGAAAGAATACCTGCAGCCATAATAAAATTACAAAATTCATAGACCAAACATAAAGGAATGCACATGAAAAGCACCCACCTCTTTCAGGAGAGTTGAATTATATAAATCAACTCACACCACCAGAGTCATTACTTAAAGTTATTCTTGTTTATGATGCCATCCCCGTCATACAACAACATCTAATCTCCACTCAGAAATAGATTTGTTCCTTAAAATATCATTTCTCAACAAGCATCAGGGTATCAATTTTAGCATGAAATCTTAACAAGTAAAAGCCCAAACAGACAATCAAGGCCAACAGTTATTTGACTCAAGACTTTAAAATCGTTTTCTAAAAGAGAAATCCTAAATTACCAGAACTTAAACTCAGGAAGTCTGCGAATGAAGGGTTTGAACTCATCAGAGCCTTTGGTTGGAAGCAAAGGTCCATTGGAAGGTTCCATGTCAGGATCAACCAAAGGGGAGAGAAAGCCAATCAAGAGATTGAGGAGGTAGATTCCGAGCCCATAAGACACAATGTAAAACCCATGGACATAGAAAACCCTCAAAGCATAGATGGATGCCAAAACCAGAGTTCCAATCCATCTATAAGTAGTATGAGGAGTAGATTTATCCAGATAATATTGAAAGAGCTTAGAACATTGCTGCCAATATTGGTTGACCGGTGAAGCAGCGGAGGCACTGCCGCCTTCAGTTCCCTCCATTCAAATCACAACCTGAGAAGAGAAATAACCCAAGTTTTCAAAACATTCACCAAATTAGATATATAACCAACCATTTTCTTCCATTATGTATTAGGATACAGACATAATCAACCATATAAACCTGAAAAAAGGAAAGATTTGGAGAAAGCCCTTTGTTCCAATGACTTACATTAACAATCTAATATTTAGGGTTCTAATGAATCTAACCTAGAATTTTAAAATCAGAATAAAAGTATAAAAACGAAAACAATTAGATGATAAAGTTAAGGGAAAATGAGATCTGGAAATAGATGGTGGGAGTTAATTGGCGATTAGAGAATGAAAGGATAAGGTTGAGAAGATGGGAAGAAGAAAGCGGAAGATAGAGAAAATGGAGAAGGAGAATGGAAGAAGAATAGGAGCTGACCTGAGAAGAAGAGTATTGTTCAATGGATGGCGGAACCGAAAAGCGAGCGAGCGAGCGGATCTACAAGGCTAAGGCTGATGCCAATTTTTCCCCTTTTTACTATTGTTATTCTCTCTTTTTCTATTTTGTTTCCTTTCTCCGTCAAGTTCAACCCTCGTGTTCGGTATTGTACTGCTTAAAACCCATGAATTGAGGTGAGGCTCAGGTGGACCTCATCACGTTATTATTTTTAAATTTTTATCAAATAAGACTCGTGGTTGAATCCATAAACACACTAGTTTGCAATTTAATCATTTTATTATTTGGAATAGGATATTATTCTTACATTTTTTTTATATCTACTTTATCTGATCTAACGGTATTGAAAAGGAGTAACTAAGAGTTAAGACAGATATGATAAAAAGGTAAGTAAAATATCCTATCCTTTATTAATTTGACTTGGAGTTAGCAATTCTATTTTGAACTAAATTGGATCATAATTACATGAGATATTATATTATACCTGCCTTTTTGTGTATATTTTATCCACTCATTTCTAATATAGTTAGGTTAGAATCATAAAAAAGAGAAGAAGAGTGAAAATTAGAGTAAGCATAAAAGAATGTACACACGGTATTCTATCCCTAATTACATAACCTCTTTTAAAAATCTCATACCAAATTAATCGGATAATTAATAAAGAAAAATCAAGCAAAAATTGTCATAATTTAATCATTATAGTGGAATATAATATTATATATCTATCTTTTTTCATATTTACTTTATCGGCTTATTTTCAATACTATTATATCACAATCTCAAGAGAAGAGAAAAAATATGAAGGTCAATTGAAATTGTGTTCCAACAGTGTAGGAAAAATAAGTATGAAAAAAAGATAGGCATGATACTTACCTTTTTAACAATAAGATACTAGTCTATATTTTTTATATATATCTACCTTATTTAATCCTCTCGAATATTATTAGATAAGAATATCAATTGACCTTCATCATTTTTTTCTTCTCTTAAAACTCTATCAAATGGTATTAAATAAAAGTAAGTAGACTAGGCATGAAAAAAAAAATTATACCTTACATCTTTTTTATGCCTACTTTATCTATTTTTCTCCAAATACCTTAGGGAAGTGTTTGGTTCAAGTTTTCTTAGAGGATGCCTAGGTATTATATATTAGGATTTTGTGTGATCCATATTTGGTTCAAGTTTTTTAAGAATATTAATAGCAAACCAACTTGCCTAGACTTTTAAAATTGTTTGGAAAAAGTGATATAATGCACTATGCCAAAATGCCACTTTGGAGATGGTATTGAGAGATGCATGGCTAAATGGAGAAGTGGAAAATAAAAACATGACAAAATACCCTCTTATAATTTGGAGGAGAGTGAATTTGAAAGAAAGATGTAAACATTCAAAAATTAAAAAGGGGTTAATTTGGTAATTTTACCTCATTTCCCCATCAATATTTTTCCTCAAACCAAACATAGACTTTATAAATCTTACCTAATTTGTCTGGTAACTTTTTTTCCAACCGAACAACTTTTTTTACATTTTCTTACCAAACTCACTTTCTAACCATTTCCCTATCAATTACATTTCCCTAGTATTCAAAAAATTTCTCTTCAACCAAATGCCCCCTAGATTACAATCTCAATTGATTTTCACTTATTCTCTATATTTCTATTGTTAGTTGAGAATTTTAGGTCAAGTAAGAATAAAAAAAAGAAAAAACTTCAAAAATCCCCCTACAAATTTTCTCAAAATCACTTAGCCCCCTCCCCAAAAATTTTAATCATTTTCCCCTAGTTAAAATTTCTTTATCATTTACTTTCCTAATTTTCCATCTAAAATTTTGTAAACAGAGTTAAATTTTTTAAAAAATTACCAAAATTACCCTTAATATAAAAAAAACATAATTTCCTCACAAATGCAATTTTAGACGAACTCACGAAATATTTTCTTTAAGATAGCCTTGTTAGAATTAGTAATTAATAACATTGTTTCCTGCAAATCCCATTGCTATTAAATATCGCACTCACAATTATTGGTACCGTTGTTCAAATAAAATGATTAAAGAGGCATTATCTCAGCAAGTTTAGATCTTCCCTTTTTTGTTATAAACTTTTCTGCTATCATATGACCAACATATCTGACTTTATAATTTTATTCAGAGCCGCATTTTATTTTGCTCGCACAACAACCGAAAAGTTTTATGTTCTGTGCTTCATGTATGCCTTGCTTTTCTCTTAATCACATGATATTACCAAGCAAACATGCACAAAATGCTATTTCATTGTTTTTTGTATCGTTAAAGAGTAGAGGAAGGATTCAAACATTGATTTACAGTCATATCTTGTGAGTTTGTCTAAACTTGTGAGAAAATCATGTTTTTCTTTTTTCTATTAAGGGTAATTTTGGTACCTTTTAAAAAATTTAACTCAGTTAACAAAATTTTGGATGGAAAATTAAATTATGGAGGTAAGTGATAAAGAAATTTTAAGTTAGAAGGTAAATGATTAAAAATTTCGGAGAGGAAATTAAGTGATTTTGAGGAAACTTAGAGGGTTTTTTTTTTAAGTTTTCCCTAAATAAAATAGTCTTAATATATTATCTCTGTATTATGAAAGAACGATAATTGTAATAAAGTATTCTTTTTAAAAATAATATCCTTTTTTTTAATTAAATCATAATATTACAATTATGTTAAAAGGTTTGTGAAATATTTATATTGGCAGTAAAATATTTCAATAAGATAAAATCTCTAAATAATAAATAATCTTAAATAAAAAGCGCCCTATATATTACTCATCCAATTTAAATCACATATACGCCTGAATAAATTAGTATTTCCAATTCACCAAAACAAAAAAAACAAAAATTAGTATTTCCAGTTTTCTATTAATAAAAAGGTCTTTAATTGGAATTCATGGAGATCTTATAGAACAAAGAATGAAAATTTTGTCCATTAATCTATCTTTCTTGACGTCAATGCATTGGCGCATACCATGATCAATGATTACGAACAATATTTCCATTTTTTACTTGACATCCACTCTGCTCCAAAGCAAATTCAAAAAAGCCACCTCCACCAATGCCAGAATCCAAACATGGTGGGGCAAACTGCAGAATTATATCTCTCAGTGTGAGCAAACCTGTAACTTGTTCATTATCATTGATCAGAAAGCTGAAACTGCTATTAGTCTCTATCATACGCTCCATTACTTGCTTGAGCGTATCGTTTTCCTTGTTGCTAACTGGTGAGTCCATTCTGGGTGTGAAGCTGTTTTTCAGACGGAGACTTCCTGCTGTAAGAAGAGCCCCATGGTCATCTTCAATGGTTGGTTTAATGTGCACTTTGTCACTCTCTGTGTGAATGAATTCTTCCACAGTCAAAATCCTGTTCTAGCACAAAAAACAGGCAACTTTGTCATATTGGTTACATTGTCATATGGGATAACAACTTCTCATGTTGGTGGAGAAGTTGTTATTTTGCAGCCGACACAATAATTAGGAGAGAGAGAAGGGAAAGAAGTGAGAGAAAAAAAATTGAAGTGGGTTCCGCCATTAATGTATCTATAACACGAGAAGGCTATTCTCCTTTTAAAGGAGAAGTATAAACCCCTTATATTATTCAATAAGGATATTGTAACAACCAAACCAATTAGTGTTACTACCAATCAATTTCACCGTTAGATCGATTATGTTGATCCAACGGTTATATTTATTTTCATCTTTGTATGATTAGGATTCCTTATATTTAATACTTTATATTTTATTTTCACCTTTATATGATTATGATTTCTCATATTTAATGTAAAATCATAACCATACAAAGATGAAAATAAATATAACCGTTAGATCAACATAATCGATCTAACGGTGAGATTGATTGATAGTAACACTAATCGATTGTTACAATATCCTAACTCTATATTAATTTAACGTTGTTGCATACAATAGCCATATATTCATTAGCTTATTAATTTTCTGAGATTGAAGGCAATGAGGAAGAGGACAAGTTTTGAGCATACGTTCTATTTGTAAGGAGGTTATCATTCTTTGCAAGATGATAAACGTCACTGTTCCTCACATTACCCAGGAGCTTCTTAGTCTGTTTATCTACAACGGCAACAGCACAAGTTTGTTTCTGCCAGAGCAACTTTAAAGCATCTGCAACAGTTTGGTCCCCAGATACACAATTAGGATGTTTTTGGTCTTCAAATCTGTGGAAGGATAAGAATAGGGTCAAAGAGCAACATAGAAGAAAAGCCTATTCACTTGAACAAGTAGCAATTAAATGGATGTAACTTGTAAGCACTTTGAGAAATGTGAGGGTTGAATACCTGAAATCTGACAAATGCTTGTCTGCAATACTATCAAACCACTCTAGTTCACTTGATTGAAGGAGGAGTTGGACTACGGCATTCTAGCATAAAGGCAAACATATCACTCATCCTGAATATATGAACTTTCATGAAATCTACATAAAGTCATTTCTTTATGATTTGCATCAATCCTAAATTCTAAACCTGTGTAACAAAACCGATGAGTCCAGGATCAGGTTGCTGCATGACCGGCAAAACGTGCAACCGATGCTTAGAAAGAAGTAGCAGTGCATGCAAAATCGTGTCATCCAAGCGTACGGGGAAAAATGGTTCCCAGAGGAATGACTTAGCCAACTCGCCAACCTAGTAAGATTGGAGTACAACAGAAAATTAAAGTTTTGTTCAGTTGGACAATTTTTCTAGCATACATATAATGAGATTCATTAAAATAAAGTGATCTTTTGGCATGGCTTGCCAGGGAGGATTAAGTAAATGTTTCAAGCTTCCAGGCAGTGGCGTAGCCACACATGCGCCAGCAGGTGCCTAGGCACCTGCTTGTTTTAATTTTTTGTTTACTTATTATATATATTACATAATTAATTATAATTAATCAAGGTTAAAATTATAATTTAGCACCACCTAAATAGAAAATCAAATGCTCAATATAAAGTAACAATAAACTATCTAAATGCAAACAAATAATAAAGAACGTGTATAGTTGTTAATTTTGTGTTTCACCTTCTTTTATTTTTTATCTTGTATATTTGTTTTTTTTTTCGCTTTATTCTAATTAGTTATGTTATTTATTCTTATTCCTATTATTTTAAAAAAGAAAGACTTCTAAACTTAATCAAAAAATTGATTAGTTGACTTATTTCAAAATTTAGACTCAACTAAACCCCTTAAAAGTAGGGAAAATAGTTTGTCCTTTTAAAGGACAGAACCTTGTGTCCTTTTAGTTTTGACACTATCTTTTAATGGTAAGACATAGTTATAATATGAAAAAATTGTTTTTCTTTTTCTTTTTCCTTAGTCACTTCAGCTGATGTGTAAAGAGAGAGAAAAATAACTTTTTCTGAAAATAGCTTTTTATGTTATAACTATCTCTTACCAGTATAGACATAGTGTTAAAAACTAAAAGGACACAATTTGTGTCATTTAAAAAGATACACATTTAACCCGTAACAATCATAAAACCAAATGAATAACAGGTCTATAGTTATGGAATATGAAGGTCCATTAAACTATTGTGCTTTGGGTTATTGGAAACACAAAGAATAGTCAAAAACCTAATTACCAAACGTGAGAACTTTCCTTTGTGCTTATGGTTGTGGAAAACAAGGGTGATGTTCTCTGACTACAGATATTGAAAATTTAAGGAATGGAGATAATGAAAGAGGAGACGAAAGACAATGCTTATTATATATATAATTATTATATTTGTGTGTTTTCATATCCTTAGGACAATGTTTGGTTCGTTATTTATTATGTTGCGGGAGGAAAGTGAAATTCTTATGTTTGAAATGCTTACCAAAAATGTTAGTGCATTTTTATATATTTGATTTGATATATAATCAATGATAATTGTTCATTTGAATTTTCAATATTATGTGATATTATTTAGTACATAATTTTAATAATTATGCTAGAATTCATACTAAATTATTTTCCTTATAATTTAAGGGGAAAGATATTGTAACAACCAAGTTGTGTTACTACCAAGTGACTACCAATCAATCTCACCGTTAGATCGATTATGTTGATCTAACGGTTATATTTATTTTCATCTTTGTATGGTTATGATTTCCCATATTTAAAGTGAAAGCATTAAATATGAGAAATCATAATCATACAAAGGTGGAAATAAATATAAAGTATTAAATTTGGGAAACCATAACCATACAAAGATGGAAATAAATATAACTGTTGGATCAACATAATCGATCTAACGGTGAGATTAATTGATAATTACTTGGTAGTAACACAACTTAGTTATCACAATATCCTTCCCCATGATAGATTTAATATGTGAAATTTTTTGGCACCACCTAAATTTTTGAGGTGACCCAAGCCACTGCTTCCAGGTGCACAATCACCAAGGGAAGAAACAAAGAAATGCAAAGAAAGGTAACAGAAAGAAAACACGGGAAACCTTGGTTTGCCCAATCTGAGGAATCTGCTCCAAAATGGAGAAAAAGCCACCGTTCTCTATATCCTTATGACACTGTTCCATGGAATTATTCCCGATCTTTTCATATTCCTATAAAATATAACAAGCTTAATGAGAAAGGTGGGAAGGTGTAACTCAGCGGGTTGGAGGTTTCTAAGAATGGAAATAAGTAATACCTCAAGACACCAAAGAACCATACTTGCAAAATCAATGAAGCCAATATACCGATCTGAAAATCTTATTCTTATGGTGGCTGTGTCGGGGTCTAAGACATCCACAATGGCTGCAGCAAAGATGTCCTTTTCGTACAACATATGAATTGCATCCCTTAGACTATCTCCAGCTTTCAATTCCAAAACTTAAAAAAGAAAGAAGGGACAAGGCAGGCAATTGAAAAAGTAAAAGAATCATGAGTATCTTCATGTCATGAGGGTATTGATATCTTAAACAAAACAAAGTTGCCAACAACTAACTATAAAAGTACCGGGTGAATCTTTTATGCCGGCTATTGAACTAATGGGTATGTGATCAAGAAATTGTTGGAGGGCAGAGCCAGAATCATTCTGCACATGCTGATGATTGTTGTTGATGCTACCAGAGAGGTTCTTTTCCTTGTCTGCTAACCCACCGTCCGATACGTTCAACACGTCCGCTATTTGCCTAGATTGCTGCATTGTCTTCGATTCTTGATCAATTCACTTGACGCATTTTAATTTAGCTTAAACTCTTTACTTTTTCACCTCTCTCACTCAACCGGTAAACCTCACCGCCAACTTAGGCCTTTGACTAGTCTACAAAGCCTGAATTTCTACGTGTTAATCTCTTGGTAAGTCAGTTACCCTGATTTTGCCACGAGGCATTGGCATTGCCACTTACCATGCATCCAAAGGGAAGCATTCAAAAAAAAAAAAAAAATTGAGTTTTGAAGCATCATTTTTACTATTACTATTTTCATCACATAAAATTTTAGATTATGTGCTTCAAATCACGTTTACCCATTAAAACAGGAAGAAAATGCTAATGAATCCATGTCTCGTGAGCCTGTAAAGAGTAGAAGTAGGTAATGCATTTTGCATTTAGAATCAGCTGAGCCAAACAATAATACGGCTGTGTTACTTGGAGCAACAAGTGGTCAGATAGATTCCTTATCACCAGCAAAAGTAATATTTTAGTAATACAAATAATTTAAATGGTGTCCTTTACAAGGGGATAAAGCAAATTCGTAGCTCTCGGTAAGCCCTTCGATTGATTTACTTTTGAGGTTTTCATGTTTTATTCATTCTATTTTTACATGTAGTGGGGGAGCTACTATTTTACACATAGCAAACCGGGTGCTGCTTTCTCTCTATTGGACATAAGCATTGCAACAGCGTCCCCAAAGATGAGTGTGTGTTCCTCAGAATGCTTCTTTTCAGCACTTTGGGCAACCAGCCCGAGAGATAAGCACTCACCATTTATATGACAGTTCCATCTTCTATTGTTGCCTTCTCCATTATGATGATGATACCTGAACGAATGTAAAATCCATCTTCTTGTCTATCTGCTTCTTGAACGCCCTATAGAGAAAGTATTTGAGTTGGTAAGACATAAGTAGGATACTTATGGTAGGTGTTACACAACGGCAATGGTACAGAAAACGCCTCAAAGGAAAAACATGGTCAGATATAGTAGTAGCCATGCTTACATCTTTGTTAGTGATGATGACATCTTTCCCGATCTTTGCATTCTTGTCAATAATACAGTTCCTTCAACAAAGATACCAAATAATTTAACAATTTCATGACTATTAGTTGACAATAGTTAATAGAATTGGTACATCATACATAACAATGCTAATTCTTTATAATATGATAGTGATTAGATATCTATATTTACTTTTAACCTTTTATGTTAAGAACCTTGAGGTCACCACCCCAAAAGCTAGCTCAAGGGGTAGGAGTGCCCAAGGCCTTATAAAGGCCATATTAGTTGTCCATCTAATCAATATGGGACTATATATCTCAACATTTTAGACTCACAAAATAAATATTAGATAATCTGTGTCCATTAACTGTGACTAAAAATTACCTAATTTTGGTATTCCTACCAATCCCAATTGGGACCTTCCCCTCTGCCAGCAGTGAAGCAATTTCAGACTCAGTTTGGTAATAGTCTGCTCCCATCATTACAGTGTCCTGTAAAAAAGTGACTCTAGTTAGGAGGAATCTTAAATGGAGCTTTCTAGCGTCCTGGGTCTAGAATTTATGGTAGTTTACCTGGAGCTCAACACCATAATCTAAACGTGAACGTTCACCCACAATGGAGTGTTGGACCATACATTCTCGCAGGAAACATCCATGGGAGATTATGGCATCCACAATCTACCAAAGTAAGTCAAACAGAATAAGCAAGACATCTCATGACATCAATATCATACATACTATAAGATAGATAACCATACCCTGCATTTGTCAATCTTTGTTGGTGGTAGGAATCCCGGAGATGTGAAAATGGGTGTCTTAGGATCATAAAATTTAAACTTTGGACTCTGCAAGAGAGTCGCATAAAGCAGATATTAGTTTCAATCAACTGAACAAAGACGCTGACAATTTGCAACATTCTAGCAGCTAAATGAGCTGAGTTTCATCGTAATTAGGTCAATGGTTCATGAACAGGTTGCTTAAGGCACGACCCTCCACCCCAACCCAACCCGAAACATCCTCCCATAATAAAGGTACCATTCCTGATTATACTAGACTGATCAATGTCTGAATTCTGGTTTAGTGTGGTACAATTTGCCATTTCATGATGGCCTGCGTTCTCAGCTAGCCTACATTACTGAACACTGGATGCAAAACAATGCCAACTAGTGTATCTACGGTATTGTAGCTTGTGACTAAAAGTGAAAAACCATTAAATTTGAAAAATGCCAGCCGTGAATATCTTGAACCTACCTCTTCAGTAAGGGCCAGGTTAGCATCGTAAAAGGATTTTATTGTTCCAATGTCTTCCCAATAGTCTCCGAAAAAATACGCCTGTAAAAACAACAGGTATTTAACTTTGCATTGCTACCGCCGTCATAGGTGTAATTAGCTTCTCATAAATGGCAGATAATACTCCTTCTAAAATGGATAAAAACATTTGAAAGAAGATATATTTACGGGAATTTCTCTTACTTGAACATCGTGTTCCCTCACAGATGAAGGAATGATTTCAGATCCGAAGTCATTGGATGTAGGATACCTCCATTTCAGAAGCTTGAGTAAAACATCTCTCTTGAATACATAAACCCCCATAGATGCAATATACGGTGACTTCAATGCATCTTGGGGTGACAACCCGAGAAGAGAGGTATCTACTTGCTACAGAGAACAACACAGGTACACATGACTATATTGAGGCCAGATATGTAGAAGAATAGCATAACTAAGGCAAGAAGAAAAAGATGAAACATTGGGGCTTAATTGGTACGGAAGTTTGCAAATCAAGCCTACATAATCTGTACATATTAAAGAAGAAATTCACAGAGAATGCTATAGTGCTACAACGTTCCCTCTTAGAATGAGGAGGAAAGACTATTGGAACTGAGGATGGTAAATTTATTTTTGCTTTCTGATTGTGAACCACCTCAGCATAATTACCAGATAACAAAGAAAACAGAAAGAAGGTGCAAACATTAGGTTAGCTTGTGAATTACCATTGCTTTCAAATCAGCACCCTTTGGTTTTTCTGCAAATTGGATGATGCGGCCCCTGTCATCTACCTTGACCAATCCATAATCTGATGCACGGCTGAAAATCAGGCAATTAAATTTGTAAATTTTTTGTTTTGAGGAAGTTAGTTGTGTTTCTATTCACTCGCTCTAGAATCAAATTAAGTATAATACTCATATTGTCTTAGCAGCATAATGATATCAAGCAACAAAACAGAAATGCATCTAACAGCAGATTGAACGCACCTGTCACCCACAGCAGCACATGAAATTGTAATATCAGCATTTCTATCAACGTGACTCTGTTATTTGTTATTGATAAATCAGAAAATTTGTGAAAATGAAATGAAGAAATTATCCACTCTATAAAACAATTACACTATATACCTGCACAAGGTCCATGTAATCCATTCGGTATAGATGATCCCCGGCCAATATCACTACATTCTCAACGTTTCTGTTCTTGGCATCCTACAACAATGAACCTAGTACTTATTGACTAGCTCAAAATGAGAAAATTAATAAAACCAAAAAGAGAGAGAGAGAGAGAGAGAGAAGGCATGTAGCATGTAAAAAAAAAAATTACTTGCCCACCTCAAATACCCATGTGAATTGCCTCACAGCATCTGCAGTTCCTTGGAACCAATTCTTTCCAGCCTCTCCGGGTGTTTGAGTAGCCGCCAGAACCTGTTTGGCATTTAGGTTGATTTAATTAGTCATCATGAATAGAAACAAACTTGAAATTGGTCAACAAGAATCTCTCTAGCGGGTTATACACTTATACTTCTCTATCAATCACAGCAACCGCACATGACAGATTTTCTTTTAAAACATATACTAACGAATATTTTATCAATTTATGCGAAGTGAATAACTTGAGTTTTTCTTTTGTCAATTGCTTTTGGTTTTATCTCTCATTAATATGAATATCTAACTCTCATAAAACAAGATATTGACGTGATGATGATGATGATGATGCATACCTCCACAAATCCATCCCCAAAGCTGATACCATTTCCAAAATAGGTGCGGGCGATGTGACGGTTGAGGGATGCAGAGTTGAACTGGGTTAGCACAAATATTTTGTTAATGCCACTGTTGATGCAGTTGCTCATTGGGATATCTATAAGCCTGTAACATCCACCAACAGGGACCTGAAGATGAATTGCACACCACATCATCAATCATTACCAACATGGAACTCCAAAATGTAATGATCCAGACAACAACAACAACAACGATTCACTTACCGCAGGTGTCGCAGCTCGTTTTGTGAGAGGAAAGAGTTGTGTTCCCGGTCCACCTCCCAATATAATGGAAATAACATTTTTTGGATCAGCCCTTCGTCTCATGAATGAAGGCACTTGCAAGGTCTGAAATTCAAAACACACTCATAAACCAAAAAAGAAATGCAGCCACAAAAACAAAGTAAAAGTACCTAACTTTACAATGATATATTTGATCATAACTCAAAAACATAATTTATTTTTTCTCTTTCCAAAAATGGAAGGTAGGGAAGCAGAAGATGAGTCCCAGAATCAAATTCAGCTTACCAGAGATTCTTTGGCATTATTTGAAGTAAGAATAGCAGATACAGCACAATGTTTGACCCTCTTCTGGGTTCTAAAACGTTTAGCCAACTGATTCGTGAACCAGGAACTGTTGTTCAGGCTACCTTTGATTCTTTCACCAAGAAAGCCATTGTCTTGACGAAAAAGATCGCCTTTTTTTGAGTTTGCTAAATCGGTGTTGGCTTTCAAAGTCACACAAGCAGACGCCATTGCAGTGACCTTACCTCACTGCAAAGAAGAACCCAGATATGTTGATGGGTCAAATGTTCAGAGTCCTTGCAAGGGACTAAACTCAGTTCCAACTGTAAGCAAAACCAAGTGAAGTATGCGTTACATAAAGATGATGCCACAAAGCAGGAGAAAACGTAACTAACAGAAAGAAAACCTTAGTTAAATCTAAGCAACGCCTATGTGAAGTAAGAAGCAAGAAGATGAAAAGCAAGCTTAAGACTTAAGAGGATGAAAGGTCAACTAATAAATTTGTGAGTGTGAACAAAAATAAAATGGGAATCCAGAGAAGCGATCAGAGTGACATTTGAGGTTATTGAAAGAAAATTATTAATGTGATCGAGTAGTGGTGAAGGTAGGGGTATGCCTTTATTGGCTGGTGAGCCAGACTCCTCACGAGAAAGGTTGGAAAAATCTTGTGGTTTTGGTAAATATCAATTTCCAAAAACTATAGACAAGCATATATAATAATGTTGGTATACCACTGTAGTCCATGACCCTCAATTCCCATAGTCCATGTTTCTAGGTGTCTGTTTCACATGGGAAAGCCATTACCGAACAGAGACGTGTCATTTTCAGGCACTGGTCATACATTAAATCAAATAAAATAATATTACTATATAGAATCCTTAAAACAAGTTTTTTTTTAAAAAAAAAAATGATGTGAATTTCTACGGTTGTTATTTGTTTGAAAGTATTATATACTAAGGAGAAATTACCCATTCCTATGGATGCATTTTCAGGCTGTTCTAATCTGACATTTGAGAGCGGGGCTTGGATGCATGCAAGCCACTTGACATGTTGCAAAATTTTGTAATAATGTTTTTTAGCCTGAACAATTCAATTAATACTTACAAAGGAACCTGATATTCATAATTTTTTTTTTTGTTTTTTTTTATTTTTTGTATTTTCCCATGGAACTATAAGATCAGCTTGACCAGGCAGAGCGTACATATGGTCAGTGGGCCCACCATCAGTGTTTCTGTTTGTGGCTCATGATCTCTTGCGGTCCACCCATACCTTTTCCTGTCCCATGTAACATCCATGTGCTAACTAAGTACTTCATTAATACTAACACTAACAAAACAAATAAACTAGGAACGTTTGGCAAAAGAAAAAATCACTAAGGGATATAAGATTATAAGTTTATTAATTATTATGATTGTTTTTATGAAATGGATATAAATTTTGTTGGGATCAATGGAACAATGAATGAATTACGAGAATGATATTTGGGGATCAAGATTAAGGGCCGTAGATGAGAACGTGGAGGCCCACATTGATCACTAGAAGATAAGGATTGCAGTGAGAGGGATAGATGCGTAGTGTGTTTGTGCATTTTTGGGGGTGAACTCTTTGTAAGAAACAAACAAGCGCATGATGTTATCATTCTTCTGCTCATACAGTATATGAATATGTGTGCCCTCATTCCATTGCTTCGTTTTAGTTGGTGACTCTACCTCCACCGTTCACTTGTCTTGAGAATCTTCATCATTCTTCCACTTGATTGATTGTTTTGTTTGATTTCTGCATATATTACTATTATTATTATTATTAGACCCAAAACTACGTTTGAGTTTGATCATCACTCGGTAAGTCTTGGGAACCGAAAATATCAACATTATTGATCCCTTGTACTTATGTGGTATCAGAGTCTCACAATCCACCGCTTTAATAAGTGGAATTAAAATTAAAAAAAAAAAACACAAAAAGGTAAATCAAAAATGGGTCTGTGCAATTTCCACGCTTCTAGCCTAAAGGGCTCTTGCGTGAGGGGGCATGTTAAGATATATAGTCCCACATTGATTGGATGGGCAACTAATATAGTCTTTATAGGCCTTGAGCACTCTCACCTCTTGAGCTAGCTTTTGAAGTGATGTATCTCAAGGTTCTTTACGTGTATTCTTAGATTTAACAGATAAGAAATTTTTTAAAACGGCGTTAAAATGATCTTTCGAGAACAAAATTAATGGTAATAACTATCTTTAAATGATGAATTTGATGCCAATATAAATAGAGAATTTAATGTCACTCATAAATAGAAGATAAATATGATATGGTATATACCTTTAGGTAGGGGACTATGATGTTTACGTGCTGCTGCGATTGGTTAAAAGAATCTGACACGAGGAAAAAAATAAAGAAATCTGATATGAGATTGTGTGTGAAGAGAAGACGATGTACAAAGTGACAAAATTCATGTGGCATGCTAGCTATTGATTAACACAAATACAACTTAAGTGCTCGATGTCACCCAGATTCACCTTTTTTTTATTTTAATTTTTTGAAGACGCTCTAGAATTCTGTGCATGAATGTTATTAACTTATTATTAAAATATTCTTACGCTGATATTTTAGACATGATGGATTTAATAATTTTTATCTAGTTTGAGATGGTTCTATTTGAATTTTTATGATTTTAGAAAATTTTCAGTATAAGAATCGTATATTATATTATATTTATACTTGTAATTGAAAATTAACTCAATCTATTAAGTTTATTCATGAATCTTTGTGACATTTATTTTATCTTAGATTGCGAGAACTTTTCTTGTTCCTTTCTCCTTACTTTTTTTATTGTAAGAAGAATATTATATTAGTTGTTAAGTTAATATGGACAAGGTAACAAACAACAAGTTCTGTAATTTCAATATCAATCAATGAGTTTAAATGAATCTACTAATTCGGTTTTAATTTCTTCATTTTTTCTTAAAAATTATAATTCTCAGGAATCAAATTCCATACTTTAAATCTTGAGATCTAATTAAAATATCATTGGACCAACGATTCTTCGATAATTATTTTATGTTTTAGGATATTATAAAAGGAAAAAGTTATATTTACAAAATTTTATGTTTACAAATTACACTACAAAGATATTCGCGGTCTGGATTAGATCGGTTTTGGAAACAAAAATCATCGGATCCAATCCCTTTTGTTTGATCATGTAATCATCCATTCAGTTTGGATTTTTTTTTCAAATCTGATCCAATCCATCCAATTTTATTCTATTTGGATTGGACCGGTTTTTTATTTTAAAAATCTAAAATTTTAGCATATAGAATTACAAACCACTAGATCTTCTCATATCCATAAATCAATGTTGTAAAATATTCATATAATATGAAAATAACATATTTTTTATATGTATTAACTTTATAAAGTTTGTATGATGATTATTGTGCAATCTAGATGCATCAGTAAACGATAATCTAATTTCAATATACTATAACAAAAAGTTGAATTACCATCTTTTACCTTCAACAAAAAATTTACAATGTGGTTGCTTGAGATATGAAATAACCGAAATCTTCATCCTACATGAGAGCTACTGTACAACAATAATCCATGTAATAAAAATATACGATGTATCTTACCCAAAAAAGCAAAATATAGATCAAGCACAACCTACTTTCTCCACAAGGATGTTGCGGAGCTGATGGGTTAATGGGTCTTGGGTTTAGAATTTTGCTATATGATTTTTAGGTTATGATTGGGGAATAGGCCCAAGTAGGTAGAGGGTGAGATTAGGGAATCATTGGATCGGTTTTCACCAACCAAACCGAAATCGATCCAACCAATTAAATGTTGCGATTTTTTTTTGTTTTTGATTTTTTGGTTTTCGGTTATCGATTTTTCGGTTCGGTGACCGCGGTTTAAATTTGTTTGGATCAGTTGATGAACATCCCTACTACACTGTATACTAGGGTAATACATTCCAACACACAGTACTACCTCTATCAATGTTATAAAAACCGGATCGACCTGGCCGGGTTGACCCGAAAATCAATGAATCGGTCATGTAATCGGTCCGGTTTTCATGTTGGATTAGCCATGTTAAAGAACTTGTGTGACCCGGTGCGACTAAGCCGATTTTCGTAAAAACCGATGACCTGGTCTGTTCAATCAGTGATCCAACCTGGTTCGTAAAAAAAAAAATCTAGTTTGTTCTCATCAATTAATGTCTTCCGTTTTTACTTTCACACACAAATGATTTGTTTTCTTTTAAAATATTTGAGTGATCTCTAACTTATTAACTTAGAGCCTGTTTGGATCCTCTCTTTTTTAAGCCAGAAGCTACTTATAAGCTAAAGATAAAAATAAGAGCTTAAAAAAAACTAAAAGTTGTTTGGTAATTACATAAAAATTTAGCTTGAAAGTTACTTAAAAGCACATATTTCAAAAAAATTATCTCTCTCTATCTTTATAACTCTTCATTTTAAGAAAAAAAACACATAATTGGTAGTTGTTGCTTGTTGGAGGACTACACCATACTGGTCTTGGTTCAAATGCTGGTAGAATCCGGAAAAAAAATACATAATTTAAGAAAAGCAGATAAGAGCTTAAAAAAAGCTCCTCCTAGGAGTTTTTAACTTTCAGTTTTTTTCTTCGTTATGAAAAAGAGAGCTTTTCGTTATAAGAGCTTTTCTCAAAACCTGTTTGACCTAGTTTATGCTTATAAATAGCTTTTAGCTTAAAAATAAGACAATCCAAACAGGCACTTACATAGATTATATACCTACAATGCTGAAATTATCTTGGTTATGCAATATGCAAGAAATTTTGATTTGATTTATAGTTAGAGATGTCGTTTACTGAACCTAAAACACCAGTGTCACAAATATTATATATTTGATTGATCTTTTGTTGGATAATAATGTGTAATTTATTATTTTTTATATTAAAATATTTGAAATTGGTATATTTTTTTACAGATATTTAAGTATATTTATAGTTTTTTAATACATATTATAGATTTACATATATTTATCTAGTTATACAGTTGAATCAATGACCACTTGTTGAACTAGTGACCCAATGAACTAATATCTCGATCGGGTCAATAACTGGACCGAGTTTTAATAACATTGACGCATAGTATGTAATGTAATTTGTAAAAAAAAAAAGTTTGTAAATATAACTCTCTCTATTATAAAATAATAATACTTGCAAATACTTTATGTTCACGATTTAAGAAGCTAGACTTTAGACCCAATGGGTGCAGCTCAGTTGGTAATTTGGCGCTGAGTTAGTGGGGTTGAACATGTATGTATTCGATTCCTGCTGAATGCATTCTTGGAGAGGGGCTGAACCTTTAGCCATCACTGCTCCCCTGCACTCCGGATTAGTCTCATAGCCGGCTCAAAGAGTCGAAACTCGTGGGAATACCGGAGGGAGCCAACTCGCCTCAAAGAGGTAATTAGAATTGGGTAACTCAAAAAAAGAAGAAGCTAGACTTTATTAAAATAAAATAAAAAACTAGACTTTAAAATAAATTTATATATGGACCATTGATAAAAATTATAATATATTAAGATATTATCGCGATGGTTTACAGGAGTTTTTTATTAGGAGTTTGTTTGAAGGGGTTTACGATTCTTATGTGACATAAGATGAGAATTTTTACAACACACACAAACTCAGGTGGACTCCATTGGAAAATGGTAAATAAAAAAATTAAAAATATTGACACGCAAAACGATATGAATGTAGCATAAGAAAGCTCTTCTTATCTTGCATAAGAAATATAAATCCCTTGTTTGAATTACAAGACAGTAAACAACAAATTATTACAGCTTTACAGGTTTGTATCGGAAATTTCTTCCGTACATCAGATATACCTAATTGGGTATATGAAAATTTTATTCCCATTTAATCTATATTTTTTAAAATATTTTCCATCAAATTTCAAAATTTCTTTTTTTTGACAAATATATCATATATCTGATGCATCAAAAAGCACTGTTTTGGATCACCCTTTTTCTTTGGCATAGGTTTTTTTTTTTTTGGATAATCTCTGGCATAGTTTCTTAGACCGGAATTACATCTTCATATTATTAAATTCCGTTCTGCGAATCTGGGATTGTAACTTAACTGATCGTACTTATTTATTTATTTTTAAATTAAAAAAATTAAAAAAAATTCATTTCATTTAAATTTAACCTTAGTACTCTTTTTTCTCAAATTAAAAAAAAAATCATAAATTTGAATCAATATTTTATTTATATTTTCCTTCAAGTCCTGATATTTTACTCATTTTATAAATGATATAGGTACTACATTAGTACCAAAAAAGTTATCAGGAGATATGTGTAAAGAGTTGGTCCCTTTCACTTTCATCTCTGTCTTTTTGGTTTTTTTTTCTCTCTGAAAAAACATGATTTTCGCGTTAAGTCCTACTCGAACTCTAACCTTTGTGTGTAACGATGTTAAATTTTGGATTAATCGGAAATGAATCAGTGGAGAATTTTAAAAAAGAAATCCTGTTATATTTTTAACATCTTCTTAAAAACAAAATTAAAAAGTAGAGCATTTAATATTTTCCAAGGACAAAAATAAAATTCATTTAATAATTAAGAGGAATCAAAATTATTATTCAATTAAAATACAATCATTTAAATATGAGTTAATTTTTTGTATATTTTCTTAACTACTGACTTACATCATCCTTAATTTTATTACTCCTTTAAAATATGTCACAAGTAGATTTTTTTATTTTTTAAAATTAAACTTAAATTCCTGTATAATTAATTTTACCTTTACATCTTTCTTTCTTTTTAAAAAAAATCTAGCTAATTTAGAAGAACACGTATAATTCATGGATTCTCAGCCATCAATTTGTATTTCCATGAGTAAGCACAACTACCATTAGAGAATTGACAGTTTGAGACTACCATTTAAATTCATTAAATTAGCTAGCTAGACAAAATACATATTTTTTTACGAAAGAAATAAGATGACCAAGGTTTAGAATATTTAGACCGTTTGATAAGGGATATGTGCTCAAAATAGTATCATGATGCAATCGAGCTACGAGTCAGGAAATGATTAATGCGCACATGAGGAAATTTCAACTAAAAAATTGAGGTAATTAATGTTAGACGGTCATATTCAAATGAAGCTTATGGGTCTTGCATATTCTCGTGTATTACTTGTAATTGAATTATATTAACCTGTTATTTATTTCCATTGGCTCGTCCTCATAACAGAAACACAAGCATCTGTTTTTTTAAAAGAAAAAAGAAAAATTTGTCCTTAGCTTATAAATATCGAGAACATGTTAGTGCACTGCAGGCATTTAGGTTTTGATATAATCATCAACCTAATAGCAGTTTTAAGCTTGACAGCTAGGATACAAGTTCAAATTAACTTTGACGTTTGAATCACATGGGGTTTAGTGCTTGGTTTGCAGAGTTTTCTTTTCTTGTAATAATTTTCACTTTTCGAATTAAGAAAAAATGTTTGTTCCTTTGAAATGACATAACTTATGTCATTTCATTCTCACAAAGGTAGGACCAGTACTTTTATTTATTTTTTACTCTCTCTTTTCTTTTATCTATCTTTTTCTCTCACTTAAAACACACACTTTTCCCTTTGAATTATTAGATGTTAGTCCTCCTGCTCCACCTAGATTGTTTGGGGTGTTTGCTAAGAGGAAATTTTTGAGTTTTTTGGAAAAGTGATACAGGTAATCTCATTTATCCATGTTAGATATAAGGTTTCTGATGCACTTACATTTGACCCATTACACATGGCCCAACTATTGATTCAGGAAGTCCAGAGTCAATCAGAATTGTGGCCCAATAAATATGACCAAATTGTTAAAAGAAGCAGTAATTTGAAATATAACAAATTATAATTAAACCCAAGTCTAAATGAAGCATCAGATATGATCGTGATTTGTTTGACAAGAAAAGGAAAGAAACACATTTGGCATGATTTGAGATATAAGATTTGGTAAGTATTTTGAATGATTTAATTGTAATTATTTATTTAATTTTAGAGGTTAGTTGTCGTTATGTTTAATTTAGGAATTTTCCTTATTTTTATGATTTTAGAATTTTGAATTTTGAATCAATTTGTAATTAGTATATAAAAGGGTGCTTGTGACCCTTATTTTAGGAATTGAATTTTGATATTTTGTTAATAGAAATTGAGAACCGGAGGGTTACTCTTTTGAGAAAATTCCAACTTTCTGTTTAGCCACTTTTCTATACACTTTCGGCATCAGTTTCTCAAATTTTTTCTGGAAATCTAATTTTCCCAATATTTTATTTTGTGTATAATTTTTCTTTCAAAATGCCATCCAAGGATACCACCAAATGGGTGGTATTCTTGGAATCTCATGTGTTAGAAAAATTTTATATTTTTTTGGAACAAAATTCTTGTAATATTTTAGACTACCAAACAGTTTTTGATAACATTGCTAAGACTTTTCCATCATATTTCTGATAATCATTGTTCCGTGAAAAAAATTATTCCCTACCAGGTAGGCGTTTGGTATAAGGTATTTTGTAAGATTTCCGGGAAACTGAATTTTTTCTAAATTTTTTATTTTCGAATATTATTGTAAATTGAATATTTTCTTCATGTTTGTTTTACCTTCTCTTTCCATTAACTTATTTGAGAGGTGGACAATTAAAAGAATAAGGGGAAATCGAAAGATGAGAGTTGGTGGGTACACAGGAATGGGGACAAGGAGAGAAGATGATTTGATCCGTAGTTAACATATATTCTATAGGAAAAAAAAATTAATCACATTCATGTACAATTGGGAGACACTACTCACGGGGTCAAAGATGATCATGACTGAGAAAGAGTCATGATGCAATTGATCTACAAGTCAAGAAATAATCAATGCGCACAAGAGGAAATTGCAACTGAAAATTGAGAAAGTGTTTTCAGTTTATTATCACTAGACATTTAGATTTGTGATTTCCACGTACAAGTGTATCTATATCACTACAAAAATTTGATCCACTGATATGTTCACCTAGTGGTTGAGGATATTAAGAAGGGAAACTCTGATTTTAATCAGACGCCTAAATAGAAAATCAAGCCCTTGTTCAAGGTCTTGAATGCACGACTCCATTTTCTCCAAGTGTTTTTGCAGCTTATTCACATCTTCAAATTTGCTAGTCTTGGCAAATACCAAGGACTGCAATGCTACATCCACTTGGGAAAATTCGCTTTCATCTTCCCCTAGAGAGCAAGCTACCCTTTTGGTCTGAATCAACTTGGAAAAATAAAGCCAGCTGTTAGACTTTGATTGTGTTGACCCTGAGATAAACTGAAGTAGTGTCTGAAATGTTGATAATGTGGCCACTTCCACATCTTGTAATAAGCTAATCAAAGCTACTTTTTTATGGTCTTTGTTTGTAGATAAGATGTTGCAATTTTTTCTACCCTTTAAATTTGCCAAGGTTTTGGAGATAGCCTTTCTCACTATCTTCCTCGATGTCAAGAATTTTTTAACCTCTGTTGTTAGCTCCATTTCACCTCCTCTCCTTCTTCTTATGATTGACTGAAGTTCACGTGTGCATTCTTTTGTATGCAGTAAAGCATCTTTGGATGCATTACACACATCTAAGAGCCTTAAGGATCCATCCAGAAGCTCATCTACCCAATTTTCTTGTCGATCATGGAGAAGGGTGTCTTGGGTGAGGGGAAGCTGAACTAAATTTTCAACACAATCAATAAAATCTTGCAAGCCTCCTATCTTATGGCTAAGCAATGATGATGGTGAAGATGAGGTGGTTTCATTGGAAGCCATTAAGCTGTCCAAGTGTTCGTAACATTTTAGAATGAGTGGGTGTGGTGTAGAGGGCAAGCTGTTTGAGCGAGCATGGAAATTGGATTTTGAGTTCAAAGGTGAGGCTGCCATTTTTCCTCAAGAGAAGAGAAGAGAAGCTTTGATTTTGATTGAAGAAAATTTGAGTCTATGGATCTGCCTTTTTTCCATTGGCATGTTCTCAATATATATTATGGGTGTTGGAGACATAAGGAATCTTATGTTAAACAAATATCAATGAGGCTAACTAATCGAGATTTCGATCTAGACATAATCACATAAATGTTAGAGCAGTGTCTCCAACAAGGAAACTCTCCAACTCATACATTGTCTTATCTTGCTCTCTCACTTGCATGATTAAGACGTTTTCAATGCAAATGCTTCAACAAAAGATGTGCTTTAACCTTAAAATGCAACCCATCTGCACGTGTGGACTGCTGCGATGCCAAACAAACGACTTAAATACTGCTATGCATGCCACTCGTGGAGGAACAAGAACCAAATCACTCGTTACCACACAACATGTAACATATTAAGTTAATATCCTTTGGTCTTCTCGCAGACAGGGAGGTAGGCTGTCTTCTGTAATGGTATATCATTCTTGCAAGCGTGTACTTGATTATAACAGATCATCATAAGAGAAGTCAAACCCTTCAAGAGTTTACAGAAAATATTAATATATCATCTTCTAGCCTCCTCTTTTCTGAGAAGAAAAAATGTTAGCCAAAGGAACATACTCAAAGAGCTTGCTACATGTTCGCTGCAACATTATGCTCTCTGTATTTCATCTCCTTGTTCAATTTGAGCAGCATTAGCATGGGTAATTCCACTTTTAGTCCATTCTTAATCGACGCGGGAATATATCACTCACATTCCCAACATTTTTTTCTCAACGTGCTTAACACGGTGTGGAGTTCGTTCTGGTTGTTGTCAGTTCTGGTTATGTGAATCATACGAGCTCTTTGGTTGTTGGTAACTAATCTGGTAGTTGCACCAGGATCCCCAACTCATCCCTCAATTTTTTAAGTTGGGAATTAGATGGGGTCTTGAAAAATGACATCTTTACTTGTTGCTGATATAAAAAATTCAAACTTTGAAGTGCATGCATCGAAATGCTGCATAAATTAAGGGCAAGGGCGAATCTTTAACCTCATATATGAAATGGGGCGTAATATGATTTGTAAGAGATACAGGGCGCTGGCACCCACCTCTGTTCCGTTGAAATGGAAATTGTTTGAGCCCTTTGAGGACAATCACATTAAGATAATAACTTTTACAGAATCTGCTGTTTTACCCCACCTTCTGTTTTACAATTTTTTTTTTTACAACTTCTTACAACCATATATCATAACCGTTGATTTCCGCCAATCAACGGTTATGATTTTTGCAAATTTAATTCATTAATTAATTATTAATTCATAATAAATGACAACCGTTGATCGACGGAAATCAACGATTATGATATATGGTTGTAAGAGGTTGTAAAAAAAAAAGTTGTAAGTATAACCTTCCTCTTGATAAATATGTTAGGTTTTGTTTTTTCACTAAAGTCCAATAGAGCAATAGAGTCTAATATATAAGAAGAACTTAAGAAATCTAGAAGTTTAGGGCTAGGGTTTTTTAAAACTCATATATATCCATGCACTCTCTCTTTTCCCCGGTAAGAGGTAGTCTGGAGGGTATGTGGCCAATTACAAGGAGATTGTTCGTGCTGTGACGCAAATGAGATCAGATAGTAAAGGGACTTTACATCGCTGCTCATAGATTTGCGCTTAAAGAGATATATGTTACTGAGACGATGATGATTCGATAAGCATAACAATGTAATAGGTCTTAAATCGCTTCCTCATGAATCCAAGGCTACCAGATTTCACATCAAGTATGTATTTATGTACAATTTAGCCTATGGAATATGGAACTGCTCCCTTCCACCGGAGTTAATGCAGCAGAAGGAATCTTCCATTTTTTGACACATAGAGATAGAGGTTTGACTGATTTAGATTCAGATCTCAGAAATGTTAATATAATAATGCAATGTCCTGCGCACAGGAACACTCCAACTCAAAATTCACATTTTTCTTTCTCACCCTTTCAAATATTGGAGCTTCACGTGTGGACAAATAATAATTAGTTTTAGTGTATGATACACATCCAACTGAAGCCTTTTCACAATTTTCGAATAAAAATACTGATGTCTGCGATTATAGCCTGTCCTCATATATATGAAAGACAATAAGCACGTCGTTCTCTGCACTTATAGCATAGAAAATTTGAACCAATTACTCGTTATTAAATATGATGTTGGCGATTTGATTCCAATTGACTTGAATGATTGAACCCCATGTGAGCTAAAGCTTTATATCAAATGATTGTCATTCTTCAACCCCTCCTTCATTGTACTTTTCCTTTTTTTCCCTGGGGAACTACTTTGTTTAACAAGGACTAAAAATGGAGAACTGAGAATGGGATATGATCAAAAAGTATATCCACTATTCTCTAATCACATTTATGTACAAGTATGAGACGATCATGGGTTAAAAACATATTTTGGTTGACTAGTTGTTTAAAATGTTGAGAAGGGAAACTCTGATTCTAATTAGTTGTCTTGAGAGGCGTTCAACTCCAACTTCAATATCTTCAATGCACAACTCCAAATTCTGCATATGGCTTTGAAATTTCTCAATAGATAAAGGCTTTGAATTGATGAGAAACTGCAACATGGCTTCAACCTTTTCGAATTCATTTGTGTCTGATTCTTCTGAATCACAAGATATTCTTTTAGGCTGCATCAGCTTGGAGATTATTGACCATCTGCTTTGCCTATGCTTTGGGCCAGTGATAAACAACAACAAAGATTCTAATGAGCTCATAGTGACCGCTTCTGCTTCTTTTAAGATGCTAAGAATGGAAAAACTCTCCTTGTCATTGTTTGAGGAAGAAACTACGAACCCATTTTTTATTCCTTTCAAGTTTCCTAAGGCCTTTCCAACCGTCTTCTTCATCTTCCTCCTATATGCCAAGTATTTTCCACCCTCAATTGTGAATCCAGTTTCAGCATTTCTCTTCCTTCGAATAACTGACTGAAGTTCGTGCATGCTGTCCTTTGACTGAAGCAGACAATCTTTGACTGTACTACAAATATCCAAGAGCCTCAGAGAACCATCTAATAGTTCATCAACCTGTTTGTCGCTGCATTCTTGTTTCAATGCTTGTTGGGTGATTTTCAATTGGAGCAGCTTGTCAGTGCTGTCTTGCAAATCCTGCAAGTCATTGAGTTTTTGACTTACTGAAGATGATGACAAAGAAGCAGTGGCTTCTGAATCCTTCAATCTGTGCAAATGATCCTCAATTTGTGATACAATGGGGTGTGGTCCAGAGGGTAAGCTGTTGCTGCGAATATGCAGAGAGATTTTTGTGTTTGCTTCTATAGCTTCCATTTTCTCTTCTCAGAAAATAAAGATGGCAAGGAGATGAAAATACAATTTGTTAGCTGATATCTGCTCAATAAATAGCAAATGAAAAGAGGAGACAAGAAGAATATTTTTATTTCCAGATGTCACTAAATGAGCATGCAACTATATCCCCTTGATTCTGGTTTAGCATCCTAGTGCTTCCACAGCATTGTTTGCTCAATGTTTCCCACGAACCAAGTTTCCCAATTCATCTCTCAATTTTTAACTAGGGAATCAAATGAAAATGGAATCTCCCATAGATGGGATACCTTAGCTATGTCTCCTCCATCTTTTCAGGTCAAAGATATAAAAATTCAAATTGTGAACTTCAAGGGGCAGGTGATTGGAGTTAGCATTGGAAGTGGATCTTGTGTCTGCAGGAGGAGAAGCAGTTCTATATAAATACCATTAAACAGGCTATGTTTGATTGTATATGGCTTGAGAATGGGGGAGGGATAGTGGGGGGTATCTCTTCATCTTCAAACATCAAAGATTGGTGATATCTGGATGGCGATGTTTATGCAGTGTTCCCAGATCATGTCAATTAATTTGTCGATGTTTATGTAAATGCATGTATTATACCCTATTGAATTAGAGAGAAATAAGTAGGCATCTTGTATCTGATCTAATATGTCTATGAATCATATACACGTGAAACCAATTTTTGTTTTTTTAATTAGGGTAAGAAAAAATAATTAAAATATTTGCAAACTAGTTTTCAACCCTCCTTGGTTGGTAGATATGAAGACTTGAATTACAGTGCACAATGTCTCCTTACAGCTGAAAACTCTATGTTAAAGGGTCTTGAGCGAGACGTAACCTTTTGCAAAGGATACTTGGACTAATGAGTTAGACAAAGTGACAAACCATTATAAATAGTCTTGATATCATGTCTCAATCCAAAACTTTGATGTTCCTAACCCAAAACTTTGATGTTCTTAACTTATGTGGGACTTTTCACTCACCCTTAATTTTCATGTCCAACACTACAGTTGTGGGGTATTCGGGGAGTCCTAAACCCAAATGATGAGACTCTTTGTTTTTTTTCACTTATATGATTTTCACTTGCTCCATTTCTTAACGGACATGGACTTCCCACTCACACTTGATTCTATGAGGAGAGGTAAGGATGCAAATTCACCCGATCTAAAAAACAAACAAGCTTTACAAATATACCCATTAAAGATTAATGATGAGCAACAAAGTCATACAAGAGCAGAAAATTCTGAAAATGTGCGTCGTAATCCATTTTTTTTTTGATGTAAATACAAAAGGCAATTGAAGCAACCTTGTTCACCCTATCTTTATCAGAATATCCAAACTTGAAAAATGGAGAAACTTCAAAATCAGCATTGTATTTATATTTATAATAAAACCATGTCATGCCATAAACTCTAAAAAGAAAGCAAATGTGTAATATATGAACAAGATATGGAGTAATATATTTTATCATATCATCAACATTGCAAGTACATTATCTACAACTTTATCCAAGAAGATAATATCTAATGCCATTACAAAAATTTGATGGCTCTAGATTAATCAACTAGTGATTAAGGATGTTGAGAAGGGCAACTCTGATTTTAATCAAACGCCTAAACAGTGACTCAAGTCCTTCTTCAAGGTCTTGCATACAGGATCCCAATTTCTCTAACTTTTTTTGCAAATCATTGATGTCGTTTGACTTGGTTGCCATGTTGAATACAAAGAACTGCAATGCAGCATCCACTTTTGCAAACTCATTCTCATCTGTTCCTTGTGTGTGGCCTACCCTTTTGTTGTGCATTAGCTTTGAAACCAAAGCCCAGCTGCTTCGTTTTGATATTGTTGACCCAGAAAAAAAATTCAGCAATGACTCAAATATGGAAAAAGTGACCCCTTCAGCGTCTTTGAACAAGCTAACCAAGGCCAGGGTTTGATAGTCTTTGTTGGTGATAGAAAAGTTGCATTTATTTGCATTACCCTTTAAATTCTCCAAGGCTTTGAATATGGCCTTTCGCACCACCTTCCTTGAGGTTAAGAATTTTTTAACCTCTACCATGAGCTCCACTTCCCCTCCTTTTCTTCTTCTTATAGTTGACTGTAGTTCCCGGGTGCACTCCTTTGTGTGAAGTAATGCATCTTTGGTTGCTGTACATGCATCAAGGAGCCTTAGAGATCCATCCAAGAGATCATCCACCCATTTCTCTTGGTGTTCATTGACAAGTGCTTCTTGAGTTAAGGGGAGTTGAACCAATTTGTCAATGCAGTCATGCAAATCCTGCAGACCACTTAGTTTTTGCATCAGCAATGAAGAAGAGGAGCTAGCTTCGTAAGCCCCTAATCTGGCTAAGTGTTCATTGCATTGTAGGATTATAGGGTGTGGCTTAGAGGGCAAACTATTAGAACGAGCATGGTTATGGAATTTTGGGTTCAATGAAGAGGCTGCCATTTCCCTCCACAAGAGAAGAGGAGAGAGTTGATGTTGAATATATGAAAATGATTGGCCAATTTGCTATCCTTCCTTGGCTATTGCTCAATATATATGGCCTATGGGCATAGGATACATGAGGATTCTCATCTTTACAAATACAAATAATTGCTAACCGATCTAGATTGATCTAAGTTTAATTACAGATATGTTTGTGCAATGTCCCCCCAGGATAATCTTGACAACTAATACTCTTTCTTTTCTTTTTTTGTTAGTTTTGTCCTTAGTCACCATTCTATAATCTCATGTGGATTTTGGTCCACACTTCTTTTAGGTACATTGTATCTTTATTATACGTTGCACGAGGGACATTGACATTACTTTGGTAGTTGCTACTGATAGAATTATATTTTTGTCTTTTGTGAAGAATCATTTCATCCATTTAAATGTTTGCACGTGCAAACAAATTGAGCTCCTAAAACGAAAGCTTCAGCCCTCTATCAGCTTGAGTTCCTACTAATGAATATCCAATCATTCTATCACTTTCATTCTGTCACTTTCTACTAACACTTTCGAGTTGATTGGATAGAGTATTTCATTATTTTTTGGCCTCATTAATATGCCTTTCATGTAAAAGGAAGCTCTACTATTATTATAAGCAGATGCTATACAAGAAATGCAAGTTCCCTGTCTTTCCCTTAGTTGCATATTCAGTTTAATTCAAAACAACATTACTTTTTCTTAAAAATAAATTCTCTTTTTAAAGGAAAAAAATAAAAATTCCATCTACATAAATTAGGGAATGCATAAAAATGAAAATGATGGATTTTGTGAACAAGATAGGCCTCATACCCTGATTGAGTTTAAGTATTGTACATTATGGGTGGGAAGGTGCTGAAATATAATTTTATCTGTGACGGTGTTAGTGTATTATAGACCTTGCTTTGCTGTCTGTATCATATAGAAAGATATCATAAGAAAACTGCATATTGATTTGCTTGTCCCCATAATAGGAAGACAACCATCACGTAGTTCATTGCACTCAACTTGTTAAATTTAAGTCCCTGACTGATAATTGAGGACAATCATTCAACCACCAATACACCAACCAAATGCAATCGTGACCAACCATGATATCCAAATGCTTAAGACTGGATAAAGCGTGATAGAATATAATGTCTAGAGACACCAAGATTTGAAATAGACCATAACAGTTATCTTCAGATAAGAAGAAATAACTAAGATTGTGTTAGAGAAGTTTAATTTAAAACCGTGAACGTGGTCCTTACTTAACAGCTTAATCTAGTAGGTGATCTCTACATTAATAGTTTTATATTATACTTCTCTAACAGATTATTTACGAAATTAAACCCCTTATTTCTTTATCTTGGTGGCTGATCTTTCAGATTATGTTAGAGTAGACATTAATAAATCGAATATCTTTCGTCTCAACTCTTGTTTTGTCTTTAACTTATTTTGCAGCTGGACTTGAAATAACAACAAAGAAAAAGTGAGATATGGTGGATATATAGAACTTAGGACCAAGAAGGTTAGAGGGGAAAAGGAAGAACAAATATAAGAACTGGAATTTGAATCTCAGTTAATATATATCCAGAACCAAATTCGTTTTAGTTACATTCATGTACGAGTATGCGACACTCGTGTCTACATCCCCGTTAGGTGGGGTTCTAATTGCATTTGAAGATGGTCAAATCCTATCTCTAGAAACTGAATGCACAAGTACAAATTTTCCATGTGATCTTGAAAACTCTTTAACAGATATAATACTGCAAGGCCTGTGGCAGAGAAGAGACTGCAATAATGCTCTATCTACCTCCTCAAATGCATTTGTTTTTTATTGGACAGAGTCACTGCATACTCTTTTAGGCTGCATCAACTTGGAGACTATTGACCATCTACTATTTTTTGGTTGTCCTCTTGAACCACATATAAAAGATAACAAAGACTCTAGTTGAATAAGAGTGATAACTTCAGCTTCTTTTATGTTGCTGATCATAGACACTGACTCAGACTCAGAGTCTTTGTTTGAGGAAGCTAAAAGGAGCTCCATATTAATTACCTTGAAATAGTTCAGCATTTAGTGTTTCAGTAGGAAAAAAGGTATATATAAAAAATTTAAATTAATATAAAATTATAGATTAAACAAGTAAATATTTAAAATTATAAAAATATATGTATAGTTGATAAAAAACAGTTTAAATGCAAAAAAAAAAAAATTGACAAATTTATACTTTAAAAGAAAATAAATTAAAATTTTAATTTAAAAAATTAATACAAAAAGAGAACATTTTTTCGTAAAAGTATTTTTTTAAAATCATATTTAATATAAAAGTTTTAAATACATATGAATAATCAATTTAAAATAATATAAAAATTATAAATAAGTATAACCAAAGAATTGAATATATATACTGAAAACTAAAGTAAAATAACGCTTATAATTATATTTAATTATTTTAAATTATATGCGACTTTAATTAACACATATTTTTTCATTATATTTATGTTACAAATATAAAAAAATATGGACAATGAAAATAAAAGAATTTAAACAAAAAATAAAAAATGGCATTTATCATTCTGTAAAAAAATAATAATAAAATTTAAACACTATAACAATATGAGTTTTAATTTAATATATAAGAAAGAAATTAAACTTTCATTCTTCTGATGTAAGAGTAAAAAAAAACACAATTTTCTATGTCGTAATTGAAAACTAGAAATTATTACTTGAAGATTGTGCACATGCTTCTATGCATGTTTTCCACTTCTTTCTGTATGAAAAATTATTAAACCTATTAATAATATTAATTATTATGTTTATTGGGTGGAAATTATTTAATATTTAAAATTCAAATTTTTTAAATTTGAATTTTGAACTTGATAAGTGAAAAAATAGTTCAGCATTTAAAGTTTTTGTAATGGGAAAAAAAAATATATATATATATATAAGAAATTTTAATTTTAATATAAAATTATGGATTAAACAAAAAATTTAAGGATGCTGATAGTTAAAGGTTGCAAACTGGGCTTGGCCCAGAGGGCCTACCCGCCCCTCCCTCCAACACGTTTTCATAATTAAATTAAAATTCTATTATTCTTTTTTTATAATTAAATTCCTAATTCAGATTTCAATTTTTGTAAATAAAAATTTATAAAATTTCAAATAATAACGACACAAATCATTGAAAAAATAATTTATTATTATTTTGTAATTCTAATTGTAATAATTGAAAGTTAATCTATAAAAACCTAGACGCAACTATAAGAGCCTTTTTGTGTAGATAAATATAAAAACTTATTACATGCTAATAGTTAGAGGTGATAAACTGGGCTCGGCCCGAAGGGCCGACCCACCAACACATTTTTATAACGAAATTAAAATTTCATCCTTATTCTTTGATAATTAAATTCCTAAATCTGATTTTGAATTTTATAAAGACAAATTTGTAAAATTTCAAATACAAACGACATAAATACTTGCAAAAAATAATTATTTTTAAATATGATTGTAATAAATGAAAGTCCATCTCTGAAATAAAATATAAAAACATAAATGTGACGATAAGAACTTTTTGTGGATAAATATAAAAATCTATTGCATGCTGATAGTTAGAGGTGGCAAACTGGGCTCGGCTCGAAGGGCCGATTCACCAACACATTTTTATATTTAAATTAAAGTTTTATCCTTCTTCTTTTATAATTAAATTCCTAAATCTGATTTTAATTTTTGTAAATATAAATTTGTAAATTTCAAAATACTAATGACACAAATCCTTGCAAAAAAAATAATTATTTACATAAAACGGTGATAGTTAAAGGTTGCAAACTAGGTTGGCCCAGAGGGCCTGCACGTCCCGCCTGCTAACACGTTTTAATAATTAAGTTAAAATTTCATTATTCTTCTTTTATAATTAAATTCCTAATTCAGATTTTAATTTTTGTAAATACAAATTTATAAAATTCCTAATACTAACTACACAAATCCTTGCAAAAAAATAATTATTTATTATTATTTTTGTAAATTTAATTGTAATAAATGAAAGTTCATCTCTGAGATAAAATATAAAATCCTAGACGCAATTATAAGAGCATTTTTTGTAAATAAATATAAAAATCTTTTACATGCTAATAGTTATAGGTGGCAAACTGGGCTCGGTCCAGAGGGCCGGCCTATCAAATATTTTTATAATTAAATTAAAATTTCATCCATCTTCTTTTATAATTAAATTCCTAAATTTGATTTTAATTTTTGTAAATACAATTTTTTAAAATTTCAAATACAAACGACGCAAATCCTTGCAAAAAATAATTATTTATTATTATTTTTTAAATTTGATGGTAATAAATGAAAGTCCATCTCTGAGATAAAATATAAAAACTTAGATACAAATATAAGAACTTTTTCGTGTGGATAAATATAAAAATTTATTACATGCTGGTATATAATGCTGACAATTAGAGGTTGCAAAGTGGAGTCGGTCCGAAGGACTGGCCTGCCTATTTTTTTTGTAATTAAATTAAAATTTTGCTCTTCTTCTTTTATATTAAACATAATAACTCAAAAATTTGCCAACTCTATATGTACAAAAAGTTGGAGTTAGGTAGCTAATAATATTGATTTAAATAAAATGCAGAAATATATTTTTATGATTTGCATTAACTTTTACGAGACAGACAAACATATTTCTTTTTTTTTTCCATGCATCGCACGAGTTATACTTAATTTTGAAGGAGTTTTTTATGTAGGGTACTGATTTAGAACATTATCCAAGAAAACTTAACGTTCTTAATGAAAATTCCATATTATTTAACGTCAATGTAAAAAAAATAATTTGGAGTCATATAATGAGCCAAGATATCAAGTTTCAAGTGTTTGAAGCAGCGAAGCTATTGTCACCTCATTCTTTAAGTCTTTGGTGGACCCTAATGTATGTTGTTATTTTTTAAAAATTTATCATTGTGGGTTCTTTATATTATTACAAATTTTTAGCATGTGTATTGATTTGATGATGTTTAGACACATTTGTTCCAATGTAAGCAAAAAATACGACTCATACATGACCATTTGGTTAATTTGCTTTCAAATCCCTTTCCGACAACGTTTTTTGGGTTCTAAAAAAAATAACCCATTTTTTTAGCTGAGATTATTACTTCTGGGTGTTAACATATTATCGTAATTTATTTAATGAGCATTTGCATTTTGTATCGTAGGCATACATATGATGGTAGAAAAGGATGTCCCTGGTAATGCATAAACATAGGAAATCACATGTTTGGTATGTGTTGAACTCATCCCTCCCATGATTGTTACAGAATGACACTGAATTAATAGCGTTTTCTTATTATAGGTACAAGCTGATCTTTTAATTCCATATTTGTTTTGTATGTTTGTTACCTTGATTTTATTAGTAGCTGTTATAGTTAGCAATAAGTTGTATGCATTTTTTTTTTTTAACCGTCCTCATTTTAACATAGTCTACTATGGCGTATTTATTTTTTACATAACTTATTGAGTAGATAACTATATTTGATTTGCATAATATTGATCACTCTGGATAGTAAATTTTTGTTTATGGTTGACTTTTGTAAAGTTCTGTGTCAATGCTGTAATTTTTTTCACCTGAAATATAGAACAGGATAACAATACAGGTTTTTGTAAGTACAAGATTTGCAGTGCGATTAACCAACCACGACTTATAACTATAGCGGCCAGCCGCATTTTCATCTTACAAGTAAGGACGCTATTACTCTGCAACTGCTGCTTGCATTCCACTTTTCCAGCAATCCAATCAGTAATTTATTGATCAGCTCATATGGTAAGATGAACATTCTGCCTGGATGCTTGACTCAATCAATTGCTTGTACAGATTGATTCATGATAAATTTTAATATTTTTAGTTTTTGCCAAATAATGTCCTGGAACTTTATTTTACGCCACCTTATCATACCTCCACTACTAATACGGGTTTTGAAGTTAAATAAACAATGGTACTTAAATGATCTAAGCGCTGATTAAATATAAAGCAAAGCAAGCGAAGGCGTTTCTGCCACACAACTTTTCTTGTAATCAGATTTCTATGTGCAGTTTATTCATTGACAACTTACAATATTTTTCATAGTATTAACAAATGGAAATCACTGGCACGGTAATCTTATCACCAACAATTGCATTACATGATTGACATTTGACACATTAATACCACCTGTATAATTGCAAAAGGAATATTTTTTATGACGTTAAGAAAGATAATAAACAAATTATCTGTCATGATCTCTACAGTTAATTTCTTTTAAGAGTTAAAAAATCCGAATATGTTCGTTTAGGCTAGCCTTTCAAGTAGAAACTCTACAAAATTTGGACTCCAACTAAACGAAATAAGCTATAGAAAAACATGCAAAATAAATACCCAAAAAGATAAGATATGAAAACCTCATGTCAAATATACTACCAAGAATATAAAAAGAAATAAACCATGGATTTAACAACAATCGTTTAAGCAACCTAGCTCGAGGTGCGTCTCAAACTGAAAAAGAAAATTGCTTCACCGGTCCCATCAATACTACATAATGACCAGCACTACATCTAGGTGTTTGTAGCTCTAGTGTAAATCTGCTGGCTTGCGTGGGCAGATACCATCCTAATTGAACCTCTAGCCATCAAGTCTCTTATAGCCTTCCTTGCAAGTGATCCATTAATCTGTAAGGTGCATGCTAAATGATGAGAATCTTGTTCTCCGTATAGTGCTCATGAATTGATTACAATCATCCATAAAATATTGCCAATCACAAGTCATCACTCAATATAATTCTCGAGTATGTGTATATGTGCAAACAAGCATGATATGACAGTTAAAAAATACATTGTTGTAACTGCTATTGCTAGGAATTAAGACAATCCTACGCTACACAGAATTACAGATGATAGCCACAGAATGACGCGCAAAGCTCAAACACAAGACATGCACATAACTCCATTGCAAAATGAAAAAACAAGTATATATTTTTAAACTAAATTAAGGGCAAAGCAAGTTCACAAGGCTCTTCGACTTTCCTTGACATTTTCCCATAGCTGTTTCCTAAACTCAAACCCATAACCTTATGATCACAAAAGAACAACCTCACCAGTGCACAACTAAAATGCATAACGAAAATAGAGAACTTGAGCCTAAGTGAAAAAATAAGATATCAAATTTCAAAAAAAATAATAATAATAACATGACCACAAAATTGTAAAATTTTGATCTCATTGAATTTACTCTCAATTTTCTTTGGCAACAAGTTTAAGTAATCTCAGACAAAAAGTTCAAATCAAGTTTCTATGATGTGTACATTGTTACCTGAGTATATGCCTCAGGCCATCAACAAATTGATAAATTCAGTGTTAAAACTAGTAAACAAACATATTCGCAATGAATTAGGGTTTCTACATCAACTATAATTATAGTGAATGTTTCCACATTACAGTATTCTTGATGAGTGCAGAACCTGATATGCCCAATTATAGAATCATGGTACTGAAGACACAGGCAAAATAGAATTGATTTTCAGTTACAGTCCCATTTATAGTGCAAATTTCAAATGAGGCACACACAGACATTGTCTCGGAATAAGACCAGCCTAATATAAATAAACAAAGAGCACCAAAAATTACCAATATTAAGGTTACTTACTGTTCAGCAATTCCTTACTTCATATTTTCCGATATACAGTCAGGCACTTCATATTTTACGATATACAGTTAGGCAATTACAATTAGCATGGAAAACTATAGTTAACAAATCTAAAAGAATATCAAAAAGATCATGGCGAGAAAATGTTAGTATAACCATGATCACAGACGACTGCCAAAAAGTTTACATAAAACAACAATCTTCACAGGATTATTACAAAAAAGGCAGCAGCAGAGATAAACATAAACAGGAAATGCAGCTAATAATGAATCATTATCCAAGGTTTAAAGCTTGTAATATGACACAACATCAGTGAAGTTTAGAATATGTTACGGTTGAAGTTGGATCTCAGCCAGAGAGAGGCCAAAAAAGAAGGAGAGAACATAATACCAATCATATTCTCTAGATAATCCAAATCAATATAGGAAAGCAGATCTTACACAAAACTACCAACTAAGATAACAGCAGCAACTGACTCCTTACTCACATCATAACTCTTATCATTCCCAATTAAATTTACAGAACATGAATCATAGACAAAGCAACACAAACGCTATCAACAATACGAATAAACCATTAGCATAAGAAAAAAAGGTGTAATAGGAGTGGTACCCTCAAACGATCAGAGAGAATAGAAGGGGTAATGAGTTTGTATTTGGGTGCCTCGGTTAGAAGCTTGTCATAGGTGGCCTGATCAAAAAGCACCTGGTTATTCACCTTCTCCTTCTGCTTTCCCTTGCTCCACTTCTGTTAAAACACAAATTTGACCTTAATACCACACACACCATCCATCTCTCATATATCAATTGGCAAAATCACAATTATATGAAGAAATAATAATAATAATAATAATAAAAATAACAACTTTAACAAGTAACACGAACCTTCTTCTTCTGCTTGCCACCGCCAGACTTTGCGGGTTTCGAGGAAGGTGGAGGAGCCTTGTCTTTCTTTGGAGCCTATAATTACCATGAAAAAAAAAAACAGGAACACAAAAATTACCAAATGTTAAGAAGAATAGAGTAATTGAAGTTTGCAGGAAAACATACCATGAAATCGGACCGAAGATAGCAGACCCTCACAGATCAGGGGACAGCAGCAGCAGCAGATGGAGGCGATCACAATCACAAACCTATCTAGGGTTTTTTTATATATAGGGAAGTGAGTAATTAAAAAGGGTGTATAATTAACTAAAAACAACTTCGTTTTAACGGGCTTTGGTTTGTGCCTCTTTTTTCCGGCTTCCCTGTACAAAACCCAATGGGTCCCTTGCAATTGAAAAAGAATTTGGGTTTTTAAGGCCCAATTTAAGTTTAAAAAGGCTGTACTTAGGCTATCTAACGGCCCACTGTTCCCCTATGAACTTTTTGGGCCCAAGCATGTAAGGACCTGTTTGGATGAGCTTTTAAAAGAATGATTTTTTATGTATTGCTTTTTTTAAAAGAATTTTTTTTAAAAGTAAAGTTATTTTACGTTTGGATGTATGATCTGAAAGTCACTTTTACATAAAAAAGTTGTTTGGATGTTAAAATATAAAAAAACACTTTTTATATATAAAATTACAATAAAGGAGAGATAAAATAACATGATCGTGGGATAAGAAGAGATAAAATAGGTATGATAGGATGAGGTTAAAATTGTATTTTAAAAATTCATATTATCTCTTTCCCAAAAAAAACAATTTATATTATATTTTAATTTCTGTTTTTTTCAAAAGCAACTAACTACTGGCTATAAAAAAAAGCAGCATTTTAACTTTTATTTTAAATTTTGCTTTTTTAAAAAGTTGTTGTCCTAACAAATAAAAATTCTCAAAAGGACATTTATTTTTTAAAAAAACAACTTTTTAATAATAAAAGCTCATCCAAACGGGCACTAATTAGTTTGGCGCTAAGTGGATTTGTGTAACCACGCCAATTTCCCCTTTGAATTACTCAGATGGAGCGCATCTGGGTATTATGATAGCACTAAAATCTGGGTGCGATATCGACTTTACATTATGTACTATCCGTAGTAGATAGTGTAAAATATAAAAGTTATTTTTTTTCTATCCAAAACAATTACAGTTGATATGGCGCACTCTTATTCATTGGATATATCTACTATCGTAATATATTAAATTTTTCGGCTTAGATGATGTTTTGCATGAGTGGTAAGCTAACCACTCTTCCATCTAAACTAAAATGCAAGCACAATCTCCATTTCTGATACTCCGGTAGAAGAACCGAATAATACATGAGTTACCCAAAATTCTAAGTAGCGGTGTGTGATAGGGAATAGTCCTCAAAATTCAAAGAAAACGAGGGTCGATACCAAGATGTGGAAATTACAGGAAAAGAGTGCTGAGTTGGAGGAGGCTAAGGTTGATGATGGTGCTAAAGATGAGAAAGATAGGTATTTTTGCTGTGTCTGTTCAAAATAATCAAATTTGAGCACTGATGAAGTCTCACACCGATTAGAAATGTTTCAAGTGAGTAGCATATAAGTGCAAAAAAGACCCATACAACTCGAGCTTTCAGGTTTTGGGTTAAGATGTTATGTCGATTCTCTTATTGGGGTTTGTCGTTTAACCTAGGGTTGGCAAAACGGGCCAACCCGGCCCGACCCGATCCAACCCGAAAAAAACGAGCCGGGTTAAGGTCAGCTCGAAAAAAAAAACGAGCTAGAAAATCCAATCCAACCCGACCCGAGTCGGTTTAGGGTTGGCTCGCGGGTTGGCTCAAAAATATGGCTCGTGATTGGCTTGAAAAAATAGCTCGCAAGTTGGCTCAAAAATTGGCTTGCGGGTTGGCTCGAAAATTGGCTCGCGGGTTGGCTCGTTTTCAGCCTATTTAAATGACCATGTAGTATTAATGTACCAGCTATGTGGCTTCCATTAACTTAAAAAAGGGTTACAAAATGAGAAATAAAAGCAAAATATTTTAGTTTCAAATTTTCTTCACAACAAATTTGCATCAACATCCAGAAACAATCAGAACCACTTGCTATCAAGTGGGTAAGATATTTGAACCAAACAGAGCCAGCACAGCCTAACAATATAAAAATGACAGAGATGTGAGAAGATTAGGGACTTAGGTTTAGATAAGAAAGAAAAATGATGACAACATGTGTGGATTTTGTCCATTTTTCTATATTATATTTTGTATTTTTTTATTAAAAAAAAAATCAACCCGCGAGTTGGCTCGTTTGACCCGCGGGTTAGATCGTTTTTTCACGGGTTGAAATGAGCCGAGTTGGCTCGAGTTGGCAGCTCATTTTTGCCAACCCAACTCGGCTCATTTTTGGCGGGTTACGAGCCAACTCGACAGGTTGGCTCGTTTTTGCCAACCCTAGTTTAACCCATTAGTGAAAGAATCATTGTAATGGTTTTTGGGCTCTCTTGTACCATTCATGGAGATGGTGATGGTGATGTACTTGAAGAAGCCTCCGCAGAAGGCTAATGTGACCCTAATTTTGGGCCTCACACTTGAGGGGAAGGGATAATGAAAATAATCAAGTGTGAGTGTGATGAAGTCTCACACCGATTAAAAATGTTCCAAGTGAATAATAGAAGTGCAAAAAAGACCTATATAACTTGAGTCTTAAAGTGTGACCCTTATATTGGGTCTCACTCTTGAGAGGAAGGGATATTGAAAATAATCAAGTGTGAATAGTGATGAAGTCTCACACCGATTAGAAATGTTCCAAGTGAGTAATAGAAAAATCGGCGCTCAAAAGAGAAAGGAATTTCAAAAAGATCCATATAACTTGAGTCTTAAGATTTTGGATTGAGTTGTGATGTCGGCTCACCTATTATGGTTTGTCGTTTGTGTTGAAACCGAAAGTTGAAATTCAAAATTTGAGTTTGTAATATTGTTGTAAAGTCTGGAAGATTAGCGAGTTATCTTAGGAGTTTAAAAGTTTGGCCCATTTGTAAAAGAATCCTTGTAAAGGTTTTGAATTATCTCGTACCATTCTATTCTTATCAGTGTCAAAGATGGGAACGGGAGAGCAAAGGAGAATTTGAATGGAGAAGGGAATTGGTCTGATTTGGAGAAGTTGAATCTTGGTGAGTGATTTGATTTCTTGGAAGTTCACTTGCCAAAACAGATAGTTGATGCAACTGATTTTACATGTTTCTTTCACTTGTTTGTTTTTAAGTATGATTAATAACATGAAGCATGGTCTTCAAAAATTTAATTCCTACTGCAAACGCTGCATTACATGCAAGATTTGCACCGAATCATCTATTTTAATTTATGAAACAGGCTGCCCCACGGCCCACGCTCACATTAGATCCCTAATCAAAACTCATTTCACAACCCTCATAGAGTCATATTTTAATAAGGACAAACATATCAAACTTGATATTTTCAAATTAACATTGCAGAGGAAAGATACCTAATGTGGCTTACTTTATCCCTTTAATTATATTCCTTGTTATCATCGTTCTCACAATTTTTCTAGTGTTTGATGATGCCTAGTGTAAGATTTCATACCAGAGTATAGTATAAATTTATGTATTAGCTGTTATAGCCAATTTGAAAAGTGTTTAATGATACTGTAGGGTCAGGTTCCCTTAACAAGTGGCACGGACATACTTATCCTCATACCATTGCACTTAGAAATATACGGCTTAAACCTCAAGGGGGTGGCATACTTGGTAGTGTCTCAAGCTTGGGTCGCATGTTTAATCCTTGCAAAGATTTTTTAGGGTTAGAGATGAAATCTTTGTACTCTAAGCTTTAGTGGGAGACTAATCGCACCCTACCTCCATTTTAATATATTATCTGTTTCGATGAGAAGTTAGCTAATAAAATTAAGAGTAAATATATTTTTTACTCCTTAACAAAAAATATGGTCCTCATTTTAGTCCCTTACAAAAATAAATTAGTCAATTAGTTCCTAATAAATTTAAAGTGGACTCATTTAGATGAAATTGTGGTCCTTCACAAATTCAAAAAAGACCCATATTAGTCCATCAAAAGGATTAAAATGGGTCCACCTTGAATTTGTTAAGGACTAACTGACTAATTTTTTTTTTGTAAGAGACTAAAGTGAAGATCGTATTTTTTGTTAGGAATAAAAAAAATCTTTACTCTAAAATTAAAATGGCCAGAGATAGTTGAATGGAGATTCATCCTGATGCTAAGTTAAAAAAATTGAAAAACACACACACACAGAAGTCAAGAGGATACAGTTGATGGGATGGAGGATGTCTTGATTTTAAACGGTCAAAATGCTACGGCTACTTTAATCGGACGCGAGCTCTTCATGATTAACAACAATAATCAAATCCTTGTACTACACAACACAATTCAAGTCTAGTGCTTAATTATAACCTGTAGGGGGACCCTTCAATCCAAGCTACTAATAGTGCTCCTTGTCATTATCTGTGTGAAGGACCTGATGTTCAATAATATCGAGTGTAGATTATTCTGCAATCATATCCTTAGGCCGCGTTTGATTGAAAATTTATTTTGGGATTGATAAAAAAGTGTAAGTGGATATTAAAAAATACCATGTTTGGTTCAAGTTTTTTTAAAAAATATGAGGCAAATAAGATAGATAGTAAAATGACTTTTGTGTTGATTTTACAGAATACCACCTGAGAAATGGTATTTTGAGATAACTGGGAAAGTGAAAAAACAGTGCAAAGTTTTTCCCGAACATAGATTTTGCATATTTAAATAAATTTCTCTGGTAATATTTCGGTCAACAAAACAACTGTTTTTACATTTTCATACCAAACTCACTTTCCAACCATTTCTCTAGTAAAAAAAATTTCTCCGGAACCAAACACTACCTTAAGAAAACTCAAAATAATATTGTAAAGACCGAGGAATAATTGAAAAAACAATGTCACGTTAGTTATCTATTATTTCAATATTGATACCATTTTTCCTGGGATTTATTTTTATTTATCTGCACAGGAATTATCTTATTTTTTGACTAATCGCGTTTAGATAATAAAATTACTATAAAACTAAAGTGCAGACTTAATCAATTTACATATACTGAAATCTTTTCTTCGAACAATGTTCATCCTATACGCCACGTTTCATCTGAAGGCTAAAGTTGCATCCTCCTCCATTATTGATGGGACTACTGAGGACAAAAGGGAACTGAGGGGACCATTGGAAAGCTGACCTGAAGAGGCTTTTGAGTGTTGAGGGAATAAGAAAGGAAGGCAAAGCAAAAGTCTGTGGCCTTTTCTTACGGAGTAAGAAATGGGTTGCAAATCTCTGTGACAGGTATTTGTGGTTTCTATGTTAACCTAATTGTCATGCACTCCAATAAGGTGCTGCCAGATTGCCTTAAGCAGTTTTCTGATTTTTCTTTATATTTAGTTGCATCTGAAGTGATATCTTTTTTTTAACTTAAATATGCATAAAAAGCCAAATAAAAAGTTTGTTATAAAATACCATATCCGTATACGTTTAAAGGCTCCACTGTATAATAATAAATTATTTGAAGTGCTGAAAATCATCAATTATATATGTTGCTAATCTAGTTTAGTGCACATTTAACAGGAAAAAGTAAAAACGAAAGTAGATAATGGAATAATGAGAAAAAGTAAAGGGGTTGGATTCGGGTATATTATATATATATATTTTTTATGAAACACCTTTTTTTTCTTTTTCTTTTTTAATGTAATTTGAAATCGGGTCTATAAATTAGAAGAAGAGCACCAAATTTGGAAAAAGCCGAAAGGAATTCAAGACAGAGGCATATTGTCAGTTCTCACAGTCCAAGCAGAGTCAATATAATAATAAATTTTCACTTCCAACTCTGTTTCCATGCTTCGTAGCCTAGAAACCGCTGCAGTGTCCATTATAACTCTATTATCTGCTCTCAGATGCTCACTGGACAAACCCCCAGCCCCTTTTGAGTGAGAACAACCCATAAGTTGTTTCTCAACAAACAAAAAGTTCTATCATTATATTGTTGTTAAACCCTTTAAGCAAATGGATTCATTCAGTTTCCACAAGCTCAAAGCAGAGAAAAAAGCCAACAGAACCGTAAAACATCGGCAGCTTCGAAAGATAGCGAACTTGTTGCGGTACGTAGAGGTGTGTGTTGTTTTGGTCTTGATTTCGAGGCTTTCCATTCAACTACCAGTGGCTGTGAAGAACTCAAGCGAGTATTTCCGCGGATTCATGATTAGCCCGCGCTTTGTTTTCCTCGTTGGAAACATCATAATCATCACACTGTTCGCCCAGTCTGGTCAGTTCTCAGCTCACGCTTCTTCAACAACTGCTCCAGAACTTGATATTTTACATGAGTTCCTCCATAGCAGCACCATCAATCATAAAATTCAAGCGAACAAGCCCCGAGAAAAGCCAAGCATGAAGGGTCAGAGAATCGATAATGGAGGCCTAATCAAATACCAAGAAAAAGAGAATAATAGTTTGGAGGTGAAGGATTACAGAAGGTGTCAATCAGAGATTAATATAAGGCGTGTGCAGAGTGAGAAACCTCGGCGTGTGTTGCAGAGGTGTGAGACCGACAACAGCAGGAGAAACATTGAATTCGGTGGTGTTCCTGAGAGTGAGAGTGAGAGTGAGAAAGTGGCACTGTCAACGACTTCATACCCTGAAGATGGAATGAGCAACGACGAGTTTCGTCGCACTGTAGAGGCTTTCATTGCCCGTCAAGTGAGGCTCCGAACATAAGAACAATGCTTTACAGCTTAGAATTTTACAAGCCTTTTCTTCCTAGGGTCAGAAAGTCTGTAATTAGGGTGAATTGAAAACTATATGCCTCTATAATGTAATTGCTTCTGTTTTACGTTTTTAAATAAACAAAAATACATGTGATGTGATGTGATGTATATCGTGTAAGTAAAGGTTAAAAGAAGTGAGTGAACTAAAGTATAAAATTATTTACGTGTATATTAATCGAATTGTTTAAATTTTTGGGATAGTTAGCAATATAAGTATTCACCAATTTATATACAATATTAACGGGAACAGTCACCAAAGTGCCACTGTTGGCCAAAAAAATTACTAGAATGTCTCGCCAACAGTAAATTTTGTCAAAATGCCATGTGGCATATTTCGCTGTGGAGCGAAATATGTGTGCAAATAATTCGCTACACAGTGTAACGAAATATGCTACGTCAGACTGCTCAAAACCAAAAATGCCATGTGTCAAATTGAAGAAATTCGCTACATAGGGTAGCGAATTTCTATAATTTTGACACGTGGCATTTTTGGTTCTGACGTGACATATTTCGCTACACTGTGTAGCGAATTATTTGCACACATATTTCGCTACACAGTGTAGCGAAATATGACACGTGGTATTTTGGCAAAATTTTCTGTTGGCGTGCAGTCTGATAATTTTTTTGGCCAACAGTGGCAAAATGGTCACTGTTCCATATTAACGAGTCTTTTCCCTTTTTCTCCATATATATCGAAACTCGTATAATTTCAATGTGATATACAGCGCTATCATCCTACGTTACTTGTTTCGTCATTATTTAGCTTTCCAGTTTCTTAAAATCTGAAACTCAGTTTTAATAATATCGTTATTTCCATAATTCTTTAGTTCTCGCATCTCTCGACAAATCCTAAACTCACTGTGCCCACTGCTTAGCGGTAAACTTTTTCAATCTTATCATGTTGTACGGTGGTTCTCTTTTCCTCATTGTGCCTCAACACCGGCAAGTTTCCCAAAATTTGGAGCGCCACAATATTATCATCATTGTTTACCTTCTGATTATTTATTCACTGTCGTCTTCTTGGAGCGGCAAACCTTTTGTCATTTAACAAAATTAGTACCACTACACCCAACAATTGAATTCAAACGTGTCATTTTCAAAATAAAAAATTCTCATGGTGCCATTTACGGTTGAGGGCGAACCCGGCTCAACCTAATCCAATCACGTTCAACTCAAAAAAAAAAAGTCGGTTAGGGTTGACTCGAAAAATAAATGAGTCAGAAAACCCAACCTAACTCGACCTGAGTCGGGTTAGGGTTGACTCGCGGGTTGGTTAAAAAATGGAAAAATAAAATAAAATTTCATTGATGGTGTAACTTCTAAATTTTTTCCTTAAATTATCAATTCATTCAATACAAAGACATTATACAGATAAATCATAAAAAAGGTTTTGGACTTATTGGCAGCTTTTGGGTATTTTCGTTTGGGTCTTTGGAATTGAAATTTTAAGTTTTAACTTTTCACTTTTCCTTCATTAATTTTTATACTTTTATAATAAAATAAAAAAAATCATAACCGAGCCAACCCATTTGACCCATAGGTCGGCTGGATTTTTTTCGAGCTGAAACGAGTCGGACTGACTCGAGTTACTAACTCATTTTTTCTAACTCAACCCGACTCATTCTAGCCGAATTACCGGCCAACTCACTCATTTTTGCCAAACCCAGTGCCATTCAGGTTTTTTTTTCTCCAATCGTGACATTATGGTCGTTTTCCCTATCAAATCAATTCTAATTTCATATTATTAAGTGTTTATTGTCTGGTAAAGTCAACTATTTTAATCCTGAAATATTGCAACTATTTCCTGAACTTTTTTATAAAAAAAAAAATATTAGCTTTGTGTTTGTCAATTTAGTTGTCATATCATGTGGGTAATCTGATTCTTAAAACACTTCCATATGCAAAGGGCATGTAGCTAATTAAAATTGTCAGTTCCACACAGCATATGCCATTTTCTATTTTGGATAGAGGGAAATAGCGCGCGGTAGTTTTCCTCTCCACCTGTGAGCATAGTTCCTATTTGGGACATTTTTTGTTTTAATTTGATGTTAGATCATATGAAACAGTTGTCTTTGTAAGTTTTCTGGGCTAGGCTCCCATCTATGTCAAAAAAAAAAAAAAAAAAATAGCGCGCGGTAGGCATTTTAATTTTGAGAAGCAATGAATTTTGTCTGAAATTCACATCCTATGCCTTAACACCAAAAAAAATTTGTTTTTTTTTTCATAAATATTTAAGGGCTACTAATTTGTAAGCTTACGGATAGAAGTCGAATAGGATCCTACCCTTCTAGTGGGGAAAGTAACGACCGAACAAGGGAAAAAAGCAAAGCTACCTAACGAGAAAGCATTCCTCTTAGGAACCTGGAATGGTACTATTACTGTCTCATATGGAAAATTGAAAAAGCAAATGCATCTTTGCCACAATGCGAAAGGCATAATAGGAGAAATGTTTTGTTATTGGCGCAAATTCAGCATGTCACTATCTATTGTCAACCACTAAGCATATGCGTCTTGCTTTTAATTATATAAGTGTGGCAATTATTAGACCGTGGCAATTATGCTTTGTTTTCATTTTCTGTTGAGATATATAGTCTCACATTGATTATATGTGCAACTAATATGGACAAACTGTCATATCCGTGGCCTTGATTCAGGAATGTTGTGAGATTTCGCAAAGAGTCATGAGTATGGCCTCAACTAGTTTAACCCCGTTAAGTCTTATATAGGATGGGAACATTTGGCTGCAGAGCCAACACAAGTGGTATAGTGAATCTATTCAACGATTTGACCTCCAGGGCACTTGTTTGAAAAAAAAAAAAAAAAGTTTGTTTCCAACAGATACAAGATCACTTCATAAACCCCAGTCCAATGAATATTTAGAGGGTGTTTCGTAGAAGAAAAAATTTTAAAATAATGTTTCGTAGAAGGAAAATTTTTAAAATTATGGAAAAGTGAAATTGAGAATTCGATTTACCTATATTTGATACGAGGATTGTAAAAATTTTCTCAGAAAAGTCAAATTCCCGGAATTAATGTTTATAAAGAAAAATTATATTTTAAAATACCACCAAATGAGTGGTATTTTAAGAATCTCATGTGATATGAGAATATTTGATAATTTTTTTGGGACATAATTAACCTCATTTCACATTCTCATCAATATTTTACAATCAACTAAACATAGTATCAAGAAAATTAACTCAACATTCCTGTGAAAATTTTAGTCTATCAAATAACTTTTTGATAACATTTCCGATAAACTCATTTTTCCATCATATTCCCGAAAATAATAATTCTCCGGTAAAAAAAAAAAATTGCTCTAGCAAACACCCCAAAAAAGACTTATAAATGTTTCACTAGCAGAAGCTTTTAAATTCCATTTCATTTCATGCATTTATTTTGAGTGAAATACCCGAATTGAGTTAAACTTGTATAAGGCAACTAAACTTTTATTTTAATAAAAAATAAAAACGAACATTTGAAATGAATAGGCTGCACATATACTACAGTTTTGATTTGGTTAATTTACGAAATTTGATTCTCATTCCCCCCCCTCCTCATAAAACAAACAGAAAGAAAAATAATGGAGGCAAATTCCACTCTATCATTATCATTCTTTCTTTAATATAAGTTTTTACTAGTCTTTGAAAATAAGATAAAATAAGAAGAAAAAAAATTCATTTCTTTCTTCTTCTTTTTAACACTGAAGTTATATGTATTACAAAAAATAAAATAAAATAAAAATTGATGAGAAAATACATAAATTAAAAATTACTGAATAAGAAACAAAAAATATGAAGCTCTAATTTTTTGGTGTGTTTCTTTTGAGAAATTAGATATGAGAAGTTAAAAAGTTAATTAAAAAGTTACCAATATTAAAATAGGATGAAAAACCGTGACTTTCCTATGTTATTGGGTAACTAGCGAAAATCACTTAATAAGTTATAATTTCTGATCATATATAAGGGAGAGAAGTTATGTTAAAGTGATATTGTTTCTAAAATAATTAAATAATAATGTATTCACTCATGAATTTTATATATCATTAGTTGATGAATTCAGAGGAGCTTTGTGCGTGTATATAAGTAGGCAAGAGGTGTCGACTATCTCAGTAAAGTTTTACCTTTTTTTTTCTCAAATATATTTTTATGAATTTTCAAAATTGCGCTCACATTGTACAAAGTCACCTTTTCTTCAATAGGACTAGTTCTCCACCAATGATGATGCTATACAAAGTTTTGCTAATACGTTTTTTTTTTAATTTAATATTGTAAAAAATTAATAAAAATTTTTCCATACGCATATAATATTAAATTTATTACAAATAAGGGAATATGTTTATATTTTTGTAAACTCTTCATTATTATATTTTGAATGGGATTTTACCTTTCTTATGTGTAAATCTTCATTTATATAATTATATTACTTTATAATTTCGTAACTTCTTCATATTGTTTTGATGGGTCTTTACTATCCAACCAGACAAACTTAAGGGTGCACTTGGAAAAAATTTGAGAAAAATATTTCTGTGATATTTTTTTTTTTTTAAAGTCGCTCTTCTAAATTTCGAAAAAGTACAACATTTACCTTATTTTAGGGCTACATATAATATTGATTTGTTTTAATTATAATTTATTGTATCCATGGGATGAAAAAGAACAAAAATCTTCTCAAGAAAAATAATCATATTAAAATCATTGGTTAAACACTTCTTATGTTGTGACAATTGTGACTCAATTAGAGATAGCCACATACTTATTTAAAAAAATTATACGCAAATCAAAGAATCACAACATGAGAAAATACTTCTCATGTAACAAGAGACGTGGTTTTCCAAATGATTCATCAAATAATACATTTCCAATATTGTGTTTGTATTATAAAAAACCAATTCAACTCAAAAGCTTAAGTTATTGAGTGAAGCTACATTAATGATTTTATATATGTCTAACACGTCCCCTCACAACAAAACTCATTAGACTTAAAAGATGGATAATGCATCAGGTCCAGCCTATCTGTACTAAAACATTCCACAAACAAAATAGGG